AACGATATCCAGGACTTGAACTCAGATCTGGAACAAGCAAATATAATTAACATTTATAGAACTATCCACTTTAAATACACAAAATATACACTCTTATCAGCACCACATCATATGAACTTAGAAGTTTAAATGAAATGTTGGCTGGCTCCTTGTTTGTTATTCTCTTCCCTCATTTTCTTTCATGTCTCCATTATTAAGGACAATTATAGGCATACCCATATTTAGACTGCATTCTAGCCCGGGCAATAAAGCAATACCCCCATCCTCTCTCCCTCTTCCTCTTTCTCTTTCTTCCTCTTCTTTATTCTTTTTCTAAAAAAAAAAAACAAACAAACAAAAAAAAACATTTTCTCTTCATCACTGATTTTCAGCAATTTAATTATGATGTGTCTTAATGTGATTTTTCTTATTTTTCTTTTGCTTCACATTCATTGAGCATTTTGGATCTGTGAGTTTATAGATTTTATCAAGTTTGGAAAAATCTCAAACATCATTCTCTTAAATATTTTTTTTCCTATATCCCCAGCTCTTTACTTTTATTGTGGTTCTAGCAGTTCTAGTAACAAATATTTTAGGGGCTGTTTGATGTTTTATTAATGCACTGTTCATTTTTTTCCTTTGTTTCATTTTGGATAAGTTCTATTGCTCTGTCGTCAAGTTCACTTGTCTTTTCTTCTACCCCATCTCGTCTGCTGTTAATCCCATGTAGACAGTGAGGCTTTTAAAAATCTCTACAAGTTCTATTTGAGTCTTAAATTTCTTCTATTTCTCTTCTCATTGTGTTTATGCTTTATTCTATCTTCTTGAGCATCTGGAGTAAATTTATTGTAGCAATTTTAATAACCTTATCTACTAATTCTATCCCCTGTGTTATTTCTGGGTCTATTTCTACTGATTTTTTTCATTATTGTTCATATTTTCCTGCTTCTTTGTATGCCTGGATGTTTTTGTTTTGATGCCATATGTTGTCAATTTTCCACTGTTGAGTGCTGGGGTTTTTATTCCTAAATGTTTTTGTGTTTTGTTCTGGGATGCAGTTAAGTTACTTGGAAACAGTATGATGCTTCTGCAGTTTTTTGAAAACCTTTATTGGTGGATGTATAACAGCCTTTCATCTAGGACTAATTTAACCCCACGATTAAGGCGATACTCTTCGGATCAGCCTACTTGATGCCTCATGTGTAAGGTCTTCCACTATGGCTCATTTAGCTTGAACTGAGCTTTGGGGGTTTTTCTGCCTGCTTCTTTCCAGGGGTTCTTTCCTCATTTTTAGTAGTTTCCTCACAGGATATGCTAATCAGTACTCAAATAAAGAATCAAAGGAGACCCACTTCACATCTCCGGAGCTCTGTGTCCAGCTCTCTTCTCCTTGGTAATCTATCCTGTGAATTCTAATCACCTTGGACTCTTCAAACTCTGATCTCTGTCCCCTCAACTCAGGGAGACCACGCAGTTCTTCTGGGACTTCCCCTCCCTGTGCTGTGGCCTGGAAACTCACCCAAGGCACAAGACAGAGCAGTGTGGGCCTCACCTTATCTCCTTCCCTCCTTTCAGGGATGACTGTGGTACACTATTTCCCCAGATCTAAAAATTGTTGTTTCGTAATTTTTGTTGGCTGCTTGTTGTTGTTTCACCAGAGGGTGAATCTGGTCCTGTTACTCCACCGTGGCTGGAGGTGAAGGTCCTCTACATCCCTCCTGTGAAATACGAAAAGGGAACTGTACAAACTGCAACAGAAGGCTATGTGTTTAGAAGTTTAACACGATACTGAGGAGAAGCGTACCCGTTCCATGGGGGAGGGGGGGAAGAAGTTTAATATGAAAAAAGAACCACTGAGACCTCACTACATGGCTAAATCTCTTTTTATCCTACTTAGGCAAAAGATGTTACAACAAAAAGAGAAGCATTTTAAATCCTAGATTTCAAAAGAGCAAAAGATGTTCTAATCATCCAGTCCATCTCTCTCCTTTTGTATATGAGGAAATGAAGTCTCAGAGGTGTTAAGGAATTGTCATGCTAGTGTTGGCCACAGCTGGGATCAGAACCCAAGTCCCCCAACAGACAAGCCACTAAACCATGTTATTTCCATTCTGCCCCTAAATGATAGAGACCATTTGTCAAGTACCATTAAGTACAACATGTCCGTATTTTGTAGACATGATCCTAAACTTCCTGACAACCCTAGTAGTATCGGGGTAGGCACTACCATTGTCACCATTTTACAGATAAATTACCTGAATCTCAGAGAGTTTGAATTATTTGTCTAAGACAACTGTTCTCAAAGTATGGTCCCTGAAACTCTCCTCTGGGGTCTGCTGGGTTAAACTATTTTTACAATAATACTAAGATGTTATTTGCCTTTTCTACCACGTTGACACTCGTACTAAAGGTATAAAAGCAAAGGTGGGTAAAACGACTTGCACTTTGGCATGACCCAAAGCAGTGGCACCAAACTGCATTCAAAACTCTTGTCTTTTTCACCATCGGGAACTCGCGGGGCTTGTAAAAAGCCAGTTGGACTTAAAAATGTTCTTAATGTAACACTTATGTTATTAACTGTATTAATTATTGACATCCAAGTAGATGTCATTTTATTGTTCAGTGGGACAAAATGGGAAGTAGACTTCAAGCACCTCTGCTGCCTCAAAGAAAGGCATTTCCGCGAGTGTTTGAGTTTCAGGCTGAACTGGACACTTTTTTCTTGGGAAATCCTTTTTATTTGAAATAATTACTGATAAACTGTGGTTCATCATATGCAGTTACATGGCAAACGTTTTCCCAAAAATGAAGAAAAAGAATCTATTTCTTCAAAGAAAACAACTGACAATATTTGTTGTCAATGATAAGATGAGCGTTTGGGGGGGGAATGGAATTTTGTAAAACTTATATTTTTCACTGTGAGCTTGACAGCTTTTCAATACTTCAAGACTCTCCTGATGAGATTGGTGAAGACACGAACAAAATGATTTCATGGTATTATACAATAAAATGCAGCAACGTTTGGAAGATCTGCTTAACTCAGTGAATAAGTATTTTCAAGATGAGCAATGCCTGATACCACAAAATCATACGTAAGTAAAAGTATCCATTCAAAGTACAAAATCAACCAATGCATTTTAATGCAATAGGATTTGAAAAATGTTCACCAACATGCTTTCAGATCTCACATTGCAATTAACTTTTAAGAAACTGCCATCTGCCTTTGTAGAATCAAAAAATATCCCCAAATTCCCTGAAAAACCTATTAAAATACTTCCTTGGATTCCAACTGTAGGTCTGTATGAGACTGAGTTTTTCCAATATACATCAACCAAAACAACATATTGCAACAGAGTGGATGTAGAAACTGACATGAGAATCCAATTGTGTTCTATTAAGCCAGGGAATAAAGAGATTTGCAAAAGTAGAAAACCATGTTACTCTTCTCAGTACATTTATTTATTTATTGGGAAAATAGCTTTTTACATAACAATGTGTTATTTTTAATAACACATAATGGGTTGATTACTGTTACTTCTAAAAAAGTAAATAATTACTTACATTTTCTCCTATTTAATTCTGAATACAGTCAATATGAACAGCTATAACCCATACAAACAAATGCTCCTTAGGGTCCTTTAAAAGTGAAGGGTCCTGAGATGAAAACGTTTAGGAAGTGCTGGTTTTAAATAACACATCTGAGCGGTGGTGAAGCGGGTCTATGTTCCTCTGGCTGCCAAACCCATTTTGTTTCCATGACACAATGTTGCCTCCTTCCCCAAAGTCTCATCAGTATTAAAACGAAAAAGAGAATTGGGTCCCTAAAAGCTTTATTTTGCAATGTTTTCCACAATACTTAAGTTTTTCAATGTTTAGATATTTTTCTTCATTGAAAGATAAATTTCTTTTTATGACTTATTTTATATCTTACAATGTTGTTTTCTAAAATATTTAAGTTTTTCGATGTTTACCTTTTTTTTTTTTTTTTTTTTTTTTTTTTGAGATGGAGGTTTGCTCTGTCGCTCAGGCTGGAGTACAGTGGCGTGATCTTGGCTCACTGCAATCTTCGCCTCCCAGTTCAAGCGAGTTTCCTGCCTCAGCCTCCCGAGTAGCTAGGGCTACAGAGGCGTGCCACCACATCCATTTTAAATAAAGATGGAGTTTCACAGTGTTAGCCAGGATGGTCTCAATCTCCTGACCTCATAATTTGCCCGACTCAGCTTCCCAAAGGGCTCGAATTACAGGCACGAACCACTGCGCCCGGCCTGATGTTTGATATTTTTGAGGAAGCAAAAGTTTTTTGTCCTAACGCTTTAGAACTCCATTAGGTATTGAAGATGACTATTTTTGGCTATAAAATAAAATGCAGCAAACATCCTAGTTTTATATTGCATACAAAGTCCAAATAGTTAGGAAATGTCCTCTGTTAGATTTCACAAAACAGAAAATTCTGAGCCAGGCATGATGCCTTATGCCTGCAATCCCAGTGCTTTGCGAGACTGAGGTGGGAGGATCACTTGAGGCCAGGAGTTTGAGACCAGTGTGGGCAACAGAGCAAGACGCCATCTCCACGAACAATTAAAAAATTACCCAGGTGTGGTGGCCTGTACCTGTAGTCCCAGCTACTCTGGAGGCTGAGGCTGGAGGATCACTTGAGCCCAGGAGTTCGAGGCTGCAGTGAGCTGTGATGGTGCCACTGCACTCCAGCCTGGGCCACAGAGGTAGACCCCGTCTCTTAAGAACAAAAAAGTATGGCTGGGCACAGTAGCTCACGCCTGTATTCCTAGCACTTTGGGAGGCTGAGGTGGGCAGATTGCTTGAGGTCAGGATTTCAAGACTACCCTGGTAAACATGGTGAAATCCTGCTTCTACTAAAAATACAAAAAATTAGCTGGTGTGGTGGCGGGCACCTGTAATCCCAGCTATTCGGGAGGCTGAGGCAGGAGAATTGCTTGAACCCGGGAGGCAGAGGTTGCAGTGAGCCAAGATCGTGCCATTGCACTCCAGTCTGGGTAACAGAGTGAGACTCCATCTCAAAAAAAAAAAAAAAAAAGAACAAAAAAAGTAATTCTGATTGTCTGGCTCTGGGCTGATTTTGCATCCATTGGGACTAAGCCCTGGGAATTACAGTGGCGTCCTGCGGGGGCCAGCCTTGCGGGGGGATGCCCGTAGGAGGAACTCTTGCATGCCCTTCCTCAGCCGGGCATTCTCCGCGGCCTCCCTCAGGCTTCTGTGCAGCTTCGCCATCTCCTTGTATTCACTCCCGACATCTACAGGAGAGCAGAAAGCGCACGTCAGGACTTGACGTCCTTTGCAGAAACGTCTCCAGAAGACAAATCCCCCAACAATCCTGTCGCTTGTCCCAGAATATGAGATCTGGAGTGGCGCTTACAGATCAGACATCAACACAGGTATTCCTCCTCATACCAGAACGCGGAGACAGCATGGGGTCCCCCTCGAAAGAAACACAACCCTACCCATAAGAAAAACTCTGAGAAGTCACTAGGTCTGTATTAAGCCTTCACAGGCATGTAATATACAAAGCACGTGGCACAATAACACCTCCCCTAAGTCCTCTCCAGGCGGCTCCCTCTCCTTTCTCACCCATCCCTATGCTCCCGGCACAATCCATTCTCAGTGAATGCTCTCTCTTTGGCATCTCAGGATTTCATCCCACGATCTGCAATCAAATCATGTTCTCACAATGGTTAGTTTTGTGTGTCAACTTTTCTGGGTCACAGGGCCCAGACACTGGGTTAAACGAGAGTCTGGATGCCTCTGGGAGGGTGTTTTTAGATGAGATCGACATTTAACTCAGTGGACCTCAAGTAAAGCAGATGACCCTCTCCAGTGTGGATGGACATCAACCAACCAGCTGAAGACATGCATGGAGCCAAAGGCTGGCCTCCCTCAAGCAGGAGGGGATTCTCCAGTGACAGCCTGGGGCCTTCGTCTGCAACATCGGCTCTGCCTGGATCTGCAGGGATGTCCTCTGGACTCGAACTGCCACTCTTTCTGGAGTCTCCATCCTGCTGGCCTCCCTGCATCAGCCTGTGGGCTAACCAAGTCTCCACCATCGTGTGAGCCAATTTCTTAAAATAAATCTCTTCCTCTGACTATCCACACATGCTACTGGTTCTGTTTATCTGGAGGATGCTGCCTAACGTGGTCCCCTTTGACGGGACACTTCAGACTGAGCGCCAAATGCCTTTCCAAACCCCCTTGGCTTTCTGTGCCCCAGAGGGTGACTCAGGCTAGTTGGCCCTGAGCCTGGCCAGGGACGGGACTCACAAACAGGAGGGGAGTTAGGACCCTGAGTCTTTTTGTCCTGTCTCATAACTGGAAGGCCTCCCTTCTCTCTGCTGTCTCTGAAATCAACCTAACCTTTGAGGCTTCCCCTAGGACCCAGCTTCAGTGGAGCTTCCCACGTCCCGGCCCTGAATAACCACTATCTCCTAGACTTCAAGAATGATGATCTGAAGTCTGAGTGGGTGCCCTCCCTCAGGGCCTTGCTTAAGTGTCCCATTCCCAGGGAGACCTTTCTTGACCACCCTGTCCCCTACCCCAGCATCCCTTTCCCCCTGACTCTGCTTTGCTTCCCTGCCACATATTTCACTTAATTAGTTTGCTTACTGCCTGCCTTCCTCCCACTGGGCTGCAAGCTCTGTGAAGGCAGGGACTCTTGCCTGTATTGGTCACCACTGGGTCCTCAGCACCCAGGAGGTGACAGAATCGCTTGCTGAGTGAATGCAAACTCCCCAGTCTCAAAATGCACATTCTTACATAACTTGTCTTACCAACCAGGTAAGGCCCTGTCAACAGGGACTGCCTTTTAGATTTCTTTATGACCTGGGCACCTGCCGCAGCCACCCTGATGGGACGTACATTCGTTGTCAATGGTGAAGAGAAGGAAATAGGCTTAAATTACAGCAGGCGCAATTGACATCAAACTGAGGGGAACACGATCTGTCTGTGAGACCTGGTCAGGAGCTCTGGCAAGCAGGAGTTCTTTAAAGACGCACACTGGAATGACTATCATCTTAAAACTTAGATACTTGGGCCGGGCGCGGTGGCTCACGCCTGTAATCCCAGCACTTTGGGAGGCCGAGGCGGGTGGATCACGAGGTCAACAGATCGAAACCATCCTTGTCAACATGGTGAAACCCCGCCTCTACTAAAAATACAAAAAATTAGCTGGGCATGGTGGCACGTGCCTGTAATCCCAGCTACTCGGGAGGCTGAGGCAGGAGAATTGCCTGAACCCAGGAGGTGGAGGTTGCGGTGAGCCAAGATTGCGCCATTGCACTCCAGCCTGGGTAACAAGAGCGAAACTCCGTCTCAAAAAAACAAACAAAAAACAAACAAACAAACAAAAAAAAACAAACTTAGATACCTAGCCGGGCGCGGTGGTTCAAGCCTGTAAATCCCAGCACTTTGGGAGGCTGAGGCAGGCAGATCACGAGGTCGAGAGATCGAGACCATCCTGGTCAACATGGTGAAACCCTGTCTCTACTAAAAATACAAAAAATTAGCTGGGCATGGTGGCGTGTGCCTGTAACCCCAGCTACTCAGGAGGCTGAGGCAGGAGAATTGCTTGGACCCAGGAGGCGGAGGTTGCAGTGAGCCAAGATCGCGCCATTGCACTTCAGCCTGGGTAACAAGAGCGAAACTCTGTCTCAAAAAAAAAAAAAAAAAAAAAAAAAAAAACTTAGATACCTATAAAGACCTTGAAAGAAGGTCGTGAGAATCCAATACATTATAGTGTGAGGGTGTTGACTCTCCTCCCCTGGAGTTTGTTAGGAGCAAGTCAGAGGTCCATCTAACCAGCCATAAATGGGGCAGAAAGATTCCCAGAGAGATGAACTGCAGAATGATGTTAAGAAGCAGCAGCTGTGGCTTTGACTTTGGGAATAGCTCTGTCTACGTTGACCCTGGCAAACTCAGCAGCATCAGATCTATTCATTTCAGCAGGCAACTACAGATGTGGAATAAAGTATAAATGGCATGGCCGGGTGCAGCGGCTCACGCCTGTAATCCCAGCACTTTGGGAGGCCGAGATCGGCAGATCACCCGAGGTTAGGAGTTCAAGACCAGCCTGACTAACGTAGAGAAACCCTTTCTCTACTAAAAACACAAAATTAGCTGGGCATGGTGGCGCATGTCTGTAATCCCAGCCACCCAGGGAGGCTGAGGCAGGGGAATTGCTTGAACCCAGGAGGCAGAGGTTGTGGTGAGCTGAGATCGCACCATTGCACTCTAGTCTGGGCAACAAGAGCCAAACTCCGTCTCAAAAAATTATACATCTATAAAAGACACAAAATATAGAGGGGGCAAAGCAAGTTTCCTCCCCTCCCCCCAGCCTTCCAGTTCCCCTCCTTAGAGGCAACCAGCAGTACCAATGTTCTGTGTATCCCACGGAGATTTTTATGCACATACAAACATATCCATAGGTATTTCCTTCTTTCCCCTCTGACAAATGGCAACATATCATACACATTTGCTCACTTGGTAATGTATTTTGGAGATCATTTCATACCATTACTTATAAAGCAGCTTTCTTTTTCTAATGGTTGCTTAGCCTTCCACTAGCCGTGTCTCTAATTTAATTTAAGCAGTGCTTTACTTACAGATATTTGAGTTGTCCCAATTTTTGACGTTAGAAACAATGCTACTCTGAACAACGGTGTCTATATGCCACTCTCCCCGCGTATAAGGATATCTGTAGGGTAAAGTCTTAGAAGTACGATGGCTGCACCAAATGACACGTGCATTTTAAATTTGGCTAGAAATTACCCAATTGCCTTTTGTACCCGTTTACACTCTCCAGTTTATACCGGGGGCCTGGTGGAGCCCAGGGTCTGAAAGGCACACGGCTGCCTACCCCGAGGTCCACCGCTGGTGCTGCATCCCCAGGCCCCAGGTAGCTTAAGAGAAGCTTTTCTGCACCATTGCCAGACAAAGAAGTTTTTCATAAGGAGGCATCAACTTGAAAGAAATGCTTTATGGAGTCCGCAGGGCAGAGCTGGGGATTTAAATTAGCGGCTTTCCAGCTATGGGGCCTTTGACACATTTCCTAATGTGAGTCTCTATGTCTGTATCTGCAAAATGGAGCAGTAACATCTATCCCAGGGAACTAATGTGAGAATGCAGTGAGACCATGAGCACAAGCCCGAGTATAATGGTTGCTCTCAGTTGGGTGCTCAGCAAAGGATGAGGCTGTCATTTTCATCATCATCATCATCATCATCATCATCATCATCATCATCATCTCCACTCCTTGCCCTGGTCATTCTTTCTAACTTAATACCTTTAAATTCAGGAAGAAGCCGCCACAGCCAGGGCCGTCTGCACAATCAGCCTGCATGCAAAGCTTTGGTGTATTTACCTGCAAGCTCCTTGTAGAGGCCATCCCCCTGGGACGAGGCGAGGGCCAGCATGCTGGCGATGCTGCCTTTCACTTTCTCCACGATCCCAGCCTACATGACAAGAACATTCATTCTGTTAGGACGGTGCAGCCCAAGGGAAAGTGGATCTTATCAAAAGGACCCCACACAGTTCCCCAGCCATGGAAGGTACAGACTTTCGAGGACACCGAAAGGCCCAGGAAGCAGCAAGATAACATTTCTGTGGGTTCCCACCCCCTGGACAGCATCGCCCTCCTCGCCTACAGACTCGTGCGGGATGGAAGCTCTGGTGCCCGCTGATGAAATCAGGAGCTAATGGGGAAGCCCGGAGGCATGGGGGAGAGAAGAAGGGCAACCGTAGAGATGGAAAAAGAGGGAACGAGGTGGCCATTCTCCCACTGTCCTGGGGAAATGTTTGCTGGACACCTACTCTGTGCCACTCACCTTATGATACATGTCTGGTTCTTCCCAACTGCCTGAGAGGTGTCTTCTTGCTACTCCTAGTCCCTTTATCAAGTAAAATCCCTTTCTTCCCTCTTCTGTTTCTTGCCTCCCTTTGAAAAAAAATGTCAGGCTCCTTCCTCTAGCCTAGCAGAGTCTAGTTTGGAAGCTGGATCTCCCGGGCTTTTTTGTTAACATTCTAGATTCCAGCATCTCAGCTCTAGCCGTGGGCCTGGAACTTGTAACTCAAGGCCTCTAGGTTTCTGTCTCCTCATCTCTAAGATCAGGGAATGAGAGATTCACAGCTCTTAAGCCAGGAGAGGCAGTCACCTCACTCTAGAGTGAGCAGCAAGCCACATTACAGATCAATGTATCAGAGACTATACAGATATTCAACGAAATGGTATTCTGTTCTTTAACTTATAGGACTATTGCAAAGAGGTAATTTTTTAAAAAACAGTAAATCTTCAGACATTACGTATAAAAGTAAATTTCATCTCTTGTATAGAACTAAAATATTTTAAACAACAACAATTAAAAGTTAACTGGCATTCTTTTTTTTTTTTTGAGATGGAGTCTGAGTCTTGCTCTGTTACCCAGCTGGAGTGCAATGGCATGATCTCAGCTCACTGCAACCTCTGGCTCCCTAGTTTAAGCGATTCTCCTGCCTCAGCCTCCTGAGTAGCTAGGATTACAGGCACGTGCCACTACACCCGGTTAATTTTCGTATTTTTAGTAGAGACGAGGTTTCACCATGTTGGCCAGGATGGTCTCAATCTCCTGACCTTGTGATCCACCCGCCTCAGCCTCCCAAAGTGCTGGAATTACAGGTGTGAGCCACAACACCTAGCCAACTGGCATTCTTAAAACAAAACAAAAAAAAGAACACGGAATGGGAACACTCTGTGATCTCGCCAGTTTTAACTTCCTACGTTTCTGTAATTTAAGACACATCTGTAATTTAAATTATATAATTTAAGATACACATTTTTTTAAGTGACATACACATTTTTTTTTTTTAGTGACATTGTTTCCTGGGAGTCTTAAGATCCAGTATCTACGTATTCAATGGGGAAATGGGAACCGGCTATGTGGAGTTCAGCCAATTTCTTGCCCGTGGATTTGTAGACTGTGGTAACACGTGAAAGGATTGAAACTGAACTGCTGCTGGTAACAAGATACCTCTTAGCCTACTCCAAGGGGAAAGACATGCTTTGAATTGTAAAGAAAGATATTTTCCAAAGCTGCAGTCCTGGTAGAGGAGAGACAATTGGGCAGAAACAGGTTGGAGGTAATTCGAGAAGGCTGGTTCTGAGGTGGACTGAGACAGCCATGGGCCAGCTTCCTTGAGGGCCTCGGAGACAGGAGCAGCCAGCCTGGGTTGAGGCAGAAAATGTGGAGCCTCAGATGGCCAGGGAGGGAGCCACAGTGGCACAGACTCCAGGGATCTCCACTATTTGTGGGAAAAAGGGTGGCAAGCCACAAGGCCCAGAGCAGAGGCAAGGTGGTCCTAGTAGGCTTGGCAGAAGCATTTAGGTCCAAGGAACCCATCAGAAACTGTCTTCTGGGGTAGATAAAACTAAAGCTGAATGTGTGCTAGGTACCGTCACTGGCCTTGAGTACGGTACTGCTATTTGCTTATCGACATTTTGCATAGACAAGACATTTCCCTCTTTAAACAATCTGTTTTGAGATCATGCTGCTGTTGGACCTGCTGGAGCCAGGCTCCCTGGTCCCGAATCCCAGCCATGCACCTCCCTGGCTGTGTGGCTGGTTGACACACCTCTCGCTGCCGGAATTTTCTATAAAATGGGAACAATGCTAGTACCTGCCTCACAGACTTGCTGGGGATTAAACAGGCCAACGTCTGTAAATGCTGAGCACATGTCTAGCTCCCACAGTCGCGGTGCCACTGGTGATTTAGGAGGGAGGAGGGGTGTAGGGGAGTGCTGGCAGAGCTGCAGCTCTCAAGTCGAAGCCCCAGAAAGTGTCTGTTCCACGTGGGTCCAAATGCCTCCTACGTCTTCTACCTTCTGCGACCGCTTCCCCTCCTCCCCCAGGGCCCCCCGCGGTCTGAGATCTGCGCTGTGGGCATAGAGTACCTTCAGCTGCTGGAACTGGTGCTGCATCCTTTCCTGGGCCCTTTCAAACATGCCCTCGGCCACCTGCCGGTCCACTCCTCTTCTGATGACATCTTTCATCCGCTCACACGCTTTTTTCCCCGTGATCTGAGCTGCCTCTGGCAAAAATGAAAGCCACAGTCACACCATGACTAGGACCTGCTTAGAAGTCTTTGGCATCATGGCCAGACACGGTGGCTCACACCTGTAATCCCAACACTTTGGAAGGCTGAGGCAGGCGGATCACCTGAGGTCAGGAGTTCGAGACCAGCCTGACCAACATGGTGAAACCCCGTCTCTACTAAAAATACAAAAATGAGCTGGGTGTGGCACACACACCCATAATCTCAGCTACTTGGGAGGCTGAGGTATGAAAATCACTTGAACTCGGGAGGTGGAGGTTGGAGTGAGCTGAGACTGCTGCCACTGCACTACAGCCTGGGCGACAGAGCGAGGGAGATGCCATCTCAAAGAAAAAGAAGAAAAAATAAAGAAAGAAATCTTTAGCATTAGAAAGAAAAATAAGCAAACCAAGTAAACAAACAACAACAACAAAGTACACACACACACACACACACACACACACACACACACATTTATATAAAAATAACATTTTCAATATTTAGATAATAACCAGCATTCAGAAAACCTAAGGACTGAATTAGGCTGAAGCTTGCAAAATCACTCCCTACCCCTCAAACAATGGAGCCACCAAAACAGGAAGAGTCTAAAAGTGAGTTCACAGGTGGGTCCAAGTATTTGCAAATACTTGGAAACAAGAATAAGAGCTGGACACTGCATTTTACAGCTAAAGCAGCTGGGATGCTGTAGGGTAAAAAGCAGGGTGTCTGGACCAAGAGTGGACAGAAAGAGCTGGAAAACACAGAGAAGGGTCCCCACACCTGCGGTCATGTGGTTGCAATGTGTGGACTGAGAGTACCGCGAAGACTTAGGGTGCCAGCAGATACAGTGGCTCACATCTGTAATCCCAGCACTCTGGGAGGCCAAGGCGGGTGCATCACGAGGTCAGGAGTTCGAGACCAGCCTGGCCAGTATGGTGAAACCCCGTCTCTACTAAAAATACAAAAAATTAGCTGGGCTAATAGGTGGTGCACATCTGTAATCTCAGCTACTCAGGAGGCTGAGGCAGGAAAATCGCTTGGACACAGGAGGCGGAGGTTGCAGTGAATGAGCCGAGATCGCAACACTGAATTCCAGCCTGGGAGACAGAGTGAGACTTCATCTCAAAAAAATAAAAATAAAAAAGACTTAGGGTGCAAGGAGACAAGGGGTTTGAAGGAGCCGCACAAAAGGATGCAAAAGGCGCTGACAGAAAGTCCCAGAACAGGCAGAAATGCTGCTCCCTGCGGCCCGCACCTTCATAACAGAGCTTCAGGTCACTCTGGATAGAGGCGGTCAGGGACTCATAAATCCTCCTCTTCCTTCTGAGGATGTGGTCTTCCAGGCCCCCGAGGATGGCGCTTATCTAGGAAGACAGAGCAACAGAGGCCATCGGTGGCAATTCCTTCAACGGAAGCAGGTCAGGTGTGCCAGTGCCTGGCCACCATTCCCCCTCCTTATACGATGCCTGGCAGTTTGCCTGTCACCTCCACAAATAGGCTGAGAGCTACTCACAGGCAGGAGCTTTGTTCTAAGCATCTCTATAACCCAAGCGCTTCCCATGGTGACTGGCGCCTACAAACGACTCCGTAAGTATTTCCTGAGTTGAACTCAGGCACAGGCAAGGTCTTGGAATGGTCCCTCTCCGGGGGGCAGAGGAAATAGAAGTTCCTTCACTAGCACCGCCATGTAATTTGGGCTGGCACTGGAAGAAAGTGAGTCACAGACAAGAGTCTTGACGCCTCAAAACTAAAAACTGACCTAAAATTCAACAACAAAAAAATGACTTCTTTAAGCCTCACCGCGTTGGATGCTACTTTGTAACACTGGTGAGAACAGTAGGTTAGCGAACATGTTTCCAGTTGATGCAAAGTTCCATACAACTAAAGCTTCTTTATAGATTCTTCCTGGAAACTGAGCAAACTTTAAGCAAACTTTACAACCTCGCTCCGCTCTCCGTTGCTTCACAGTGGAACAAAGGTCTCATACCTCCTCCAAGGCAGTCTCAGGCCCACTGCTCTCCCCACATCCCACTGCGTTCTGTATTTCACAGCACCTCCTAGAGGCCCTCCCAGACCCCAGACACTCCAGGGAACAAGCAGGAACCCACCCGCAACCTACAAAACCAGCCTGGGAAGAAAGCCACGCCCAACCTCCCTGCTCTCCTCACTGTATAAGGAACTTACCTCCTGGATCAGGAAATTTTTTTTGCAGCTATCGTATTTCCAGCCACTTCTTATCCCAATTTCCATCATTTTCTCCTGCAGGGAGTACTTAAAAGCATCAAGGTGAGGCATCAGAGCCAAACCAGCGGGCTTCCCCGTCCTACAGAAGAAAGTGACAAAGAAGCTTACGAGAATGGTGGCTGCTGTGAGACTGAAACAAACGTGAAACTAGCTGTTTGTTGGATCTCATCCTCCTTCTCTTAAATGAATAGCAGGACACAGCTAGTTTCATGCTTTAAATGGAGAACTCAGTCTTTCCCCGGTCAACATGTGTCCACTTGAAAGGGTGGAACTTGAACTCTTATACCTAAAAGTTGGGTAAGATCTGAGGAATTGGAAAGAAGAAGTTACTCCCCATGGGACAACGCGGGCACAGCGGTTTCAGAATATCCCAGAAACAGGAAGTGAGGGACTGCAGAGGAGAGGGCACAAGCTTTAAATCCCAGCTCGCTGCTCATGAGTTGGGTGCCACTGGGAAAGTTCCACAATTTTCTGAACCTCAGTTTGTGCAGATGTAAAAAGACAGAAGCCACTGCTTAGAGTTACTGGGAACATCTGATGACTTAATGCATGCCAAGTGCTTAGCACTGGTACCCGGGACATGTAGCTACTCTCTCTTTGCCACCTGCTAGGCGGGCTACAGCAGAGGTTAGAAAGGTAAGCTGGAGGCAGGTGGAAGGTCTTGAATGCATTCTAAGGAATCTGAAGTTTAGCCCACAGAATTGTAAACAGAGCAGGGGTGCAATTGGTGGAATGACATAAACCAAGACATGCTTAAAGACAGGGGGCAAGGCCAGGTGCAGTGCTTCACACCTGTGATCCCAGCACTTTGGGAGGCTGAAGCGGTCGGATCACGAGGTTAGGAGCTCTAGACCATCCTGGCCAGCATGGTAAAACCCCGTTTCTACTAAAAACACAAAAATTAACCTGGTATGGTGGCAGGCACCTGTAATCCCAGCTACTCAGGAGGCTGAGGTAGGAGAATCACTTGACCCTGGAGGCGGAGGTTGCAGTGAGCCGAGATCACGCCATTGCACTCCAGCCTGGGTAACAAGAGCGAAACTAGGTCTCAATAAAAAAAAAAAAAAAAAAAAAAAAAAAAGAATAAAAACAGAAAGGTGGGGCAGGAATGGGGGCTCTGAGTAAGACTCAAGCAAAGGCTGGAGAATGGTTTGAACAGCCACCAGTTGGCAACCATGTGAAATGCCAGCAGGAAGGACAGAGACTGGGGATGGGCAGCTGTACTGGGGACTGGGAGATTCTGTTTCTGTTAGTGGAGTAAAGAATTAGTGGTCAAGGAAGGAGGGAAGGAGGGATCACCAGGGAGATATACTCCTCAAACCCACGTCATGTATGTGAGCAGGCAGTGTCTGAAACAGACAGTGTCTTCAGTGCATTCAGGGAACGCTCTGAGGTGGGATGTGGTAGCTCATGACAGTAATCCCAGCGCTTTGGGAGGCTGAGGGGGGATGATCACTTAAGGCCAGGATTTCAAGACTAGCCTGGTCAACATAGCAAGACCCTCTCTCTACAAACAAAAATATATATATATCTGTTAAAAGTTAGCCAGGCATAATGGCATATGCCTGTGGTCCCAGCTACTTAGGAGGCTGAGGCGGGAGGCTTGTCTGAGCCCAGGAGTTCGAGGCTGCAGTGACCTAGGATTGCGCCACTGCACTCCAGTCTGGGCAACAGAGCAAGACCCTGTCTCATTGTTTTAAAAAGGAAAGAAAGAAAGTTCTAAGGGCCGTGTATGTTTGATTAATTCCACTCTCGCCAATCAAAATAGCCTGTCCTCGGCTCAGATCCCTAAGAAAATGTATCCCCTGCTGCATGTGTGAGATATCTGAAAAATAATGGGAATCATAATACTAGTCTGAAGGCAGCATCTCAATCTGTGTCCAGGTCAGCATGGGAAATTTTTAAGTAAACCAGACCAAGAAGCCTTTTGTGTTTTGCCAAAGACTAAGCTTTCCTCCTCTAGCTACAGCTACTCTTTACACTTCCAGATCCAAATTCTAAATTCTTAAAGACTCTGGCTCAACATTCTCCTGATGTTTGTTCCTGAAGGAGCAAGATGATAGATTCTTTACCTAAAAATGCTTGCAAAAACAGGGTCGATCTGGTCATAGATGGGCTGAGTGAGGGCTTCGTTTAGATCAATTCTTGCCAGAGTCCTGGAGGCATAGACGCCATTTTTCAGGCAAACAGCTTTTAGGGTCTGATGAAAACCTTGGTTTCCTTTACTCCTCTAGAAAATCAACAAGAAATTAGCAGAGTTAGCAGGTATTAACTAGAAGGTCACTGGATTAGAATTGCATTTCCCAGACCAAAGGTCATTACCAAGAATCACAGGAAAGGGTAGAGACATGCTCTTTAAACTGATGATTAAACTGAACGAGGGGGGCCAGTGGCCACGACTCTAGATTGTCTGGGGGGCCCTGCCAAGAGCTTCCTAAGCGCCCTGGGCTCACTCTGAGCACAATCCTTCTCAAGCGATTCTGAATGTGCTAATTTACTCATTTGTGTCTAGCTACTATCCTTGGCCATCAGCTCATTGAGAGCAGGCACAGTGTCTCATCCATCTTTATGTCCCCAACATCTGGCAACAACTTAAGCAGTATTTGAGAAATATTTGTTTTTGTTTGTTTGTTTGTTTTGAGATGGAGTTTTGCTCTTGTTGCCCAGGCTGGAGTAAAATGGCACAATCTTGGCTCACCACAATCTCCACCTCCCAGGTTCAAGCGATTCTCTTGCCTCAACCTCCCGAACAGCTGGGATTACAGGCACCCACCACCATGCCTGGCTAACTTTTGTATTTTTAGTAGAGACAAGGTTTCACCATGTTGTCCAGGCTTGTCCCAAACTCTTGACCTTAGGTGATTCACCCACCTCAGCTTCCCAAAGTGTTGGGTTTACAGGCATGAGCCACCATGCCTGGCCAAGAAATATTTGTTAAATAAGCAATTACTGAATGAATGAATGAATGAATGACAATGTGCTATGACCCAATAGTAAGTATATTTCTTGAATTTTCTAAGGATAGTCCTTAGATTTCATAAACTTTTTGTTGAACTTTTAATGAAATACAATTTGATTTGTATGTCTTGGCGATATTTTTTCCCAAAGAAATAAATGCACAAATGACAGGAAAGAAAAGTATAAAGCTAGAGCTATGAGAGACATTAATCAGTTTCAGCCAGATGGTAATCATTTGTAAAGTGAATAAAAATGTGTTTGCTAAAATTTTAGTAAAGGGCGCTGTGATTTTTAATCAATGATATATGTTTTAAAGGAATGGCCACATAGTGTTGTACAACTGGTATAATTCTCTTCTTCTCTGATCTTTTTACTTAGGATTACAACATGAGAATATCCCCAAATCACTGTAAGTATGTTCCAGGCTGGGCACAGTGGCTCACACCTCTAACCCCAGCACTTTGGGAGGCCAAGGCAGACAGATCATCTGAGCTCAGGAGTTCCAAGACCAGCCTGGCCAACATTGAGAAACCCCATCTGTACTAAAAATACAAACATCAGCCAAGTGCGGTGGCTCAAGCCTATAATCCCAGCACTTTGGGAGGCCGAGGCGGGTGGATCACGAGGTCGAGAGATCGAGACCATCCTGGTCAACGTGGTGAAACCCCGTCTCTACTAAAAATACAAAAAATTAGCTGGGCATGGTGGCGCGTGCCTGTAATCCCAGCTATTCAGGAGGCTGAGGCAGGAGAATTGCCTGAACCCAGGAGGCGGAGGTTGCGGTGAGCCGGGATCGCGCCATCGCACTCCAGCCTGGGTAACAAGAGCAAAACTCCGTCTCAAAAAAAAAAAAAAAAAAAATACAAACAGCCAGTTGTGGTGGTGTACGCCTGTAATCCCAGCTACTCAGGAGGCTGTGGCAGGAGAATCGCTTGAACCTGGGAGGCGGAGATTACAGTGAGTTGCGATGGCACCACTGCATTCCAGCCTGAGTGACAGAGAGAAACTCCATCTCAAAAAAAAGTTCCAAAAACTGCACTAATAATCATTTAATATAGTATCATATGGAAGAAAAATAATTCATTTTACCTCTCGTTCTTAAACATTTAGGTTATTTTTACTATGTTAAATAATGGTATGATGTTAGTGTATAAATGTCTTCCCAAATTTCTGATCTCAAAGAAACATCAGCTAGGTGAGGCTGGGTGAGGTTGGGTGCTGGCTCTGAGTGAGGCTGGAGGATCTGCTTCCAAGGATATCCAGCTGCACGCTGGTGCTGGCTCCTGGGTGAGGCTGAGTAAGGCTGGGTGCTGGCTCTGAGTGAGGCTGGAGGATCTGCTTCCAAGGATACCTGGCTGCATGCTGGTGCTGGCTCCTGGACCCAGGTGGGGGCCTTTGCTCTCCATGTGACCTCTGTACACAGTGGCTCAACTTCAGTACACAAAGGCATTCCCCTGAGAAAGTGACCCAAGCTTCTGTGGCCCTTGATGGCCTAGCCTCAGAAGCCACATACTGTCACCTGTCTAGCATTCTCCTGCTCAGAAATCAGCCCTGATTCAATGTGGGGGAGACTCCATGAGGGCACAAATACCAGGAGGTGAGGACCCCTGGGGCCACCTTGCTTGCTGCCTAGCACAGTCACCAGTGAAACCCACAAGGCCAAATCCAATGGCCCTGATTGTTTTTGTTTTGTTTTCCCCTTTTAGGAGCAGGTGATGTTCTCCTTCTTAACAAACTTTTCCTTTTTTCCTAAGAGACAGGGCCTCTCTCTGACAGTCAGGCTGGAGTGCGGTGACACAGTCATAGCTCACTGCAGCCTCCAACACCTGGGCTCATGAGATCCTCCTGCCTCAGCCTCTTGAGAAGCTGGGACTACAGGGGCATGTCACCAAGCCCCACTTTTTGTTTGTCTGTTTGTTAGACATAGGGTCTTGATATGCTGCCTGGCTGGTCTTGAACTCCTGGCCTCAAGCAATCCTTCTGCCTCAGCCTCCCAAAGTGCTGGGATTATAGGCATGAGCCACTGCTCTCAGCCTTAACAAACTTTATTGCTCCAGTTTTCTCACTGGAAAATAAGAAATTAAGCATTACACTAAAAACAAGCATAAAGATAAGAAAATAGGCATTACGCGATTTCCTTCTCCTGGTACCTCTCAGGCTTTGCCTTCTCTGGCCCTCCCCTGCCCCTCTTTATTCTTCTGCTTCCTTAACAGTGCTTTGCATGAGGTGATATCCTATCACTGTCTTCCCTCCACTCCTCCTCAAACCCATTCACTGGTATATGTGCATCAAGTCCATGCAAGTGGCAGCCACAGCCTCCAGCCCCACCTCTCTCCTGGCTCCAGCTCCACATTTCCATCACTGCATTAGATATTCCACCTCCATAAAACCGTGAGAGCTCTGCTGAGGTTTCTAAGAAAGGTTCTCCAGTCTTCTGAATGCCAGCCTGGAAACAGCCATCCCCCTGCCCCTCTAGACAGCGATTCTCAACTGGGAGTGATTTTGTCACAACTGAAGAGTGGGGGCTGCTACCAGCACCTAGCGGGTGCAGTCCAAGAATCAAACGACCTGCAATTCACAGGACAGCCTCTCACAACAAAGCATGATCTGGTCCCAGCTGTCAATCACACTGAGGTTAAAAACCCTCCTCCAGAGCTCATGGTGTTCAGATTTGAGTGCAAGAACAGCTACAGCCATTTTGCCATCATGAGAGAAGCAGCCTGAGAATGGGGCCCACGGAGGCGCTGGATTCAGTTCATACTCCAGACCCTCTCTTCCTGTGGCTCTCAGACACATGGGCCAATATACTTCCTCATAGCTAAGAGTGGCTTCAGTTAGGGACTCTGATTTGCAGCCAAAAGATTCCAGCCAGCCACAGCTCCCAACAGAATGTTCTCCCTTCTCTAAACATTTGGAGAACTTTCTGGCTGTCCCGTGGTCCTCACCAGCATGCTACCTTTTATTATAGTTCCACAAATGCTCTCTTAACTCTTCTGACCAGGAATGTATCTTTCTATCCCTGAAATCTAGTAAGAAAAACAGATGGTCAGGCATGGTGGCTCAGGCCTGTAATCCCCGCACTTTGGGAGTCGAGGAGGGTGGATCACGAAGTCAGGAGTTTGAGACCAGCCAGACCAACATGATGAAACCCCATCTCTACTAAAAATACAAAAAGTAGCCGGGCATGGTGGTGCGTATCTGTAATCACAGCTACTCAGGAGGCTGAGGCAGGAGAATCACTTCAAGCCGGGAAGTGAAGGTTGCAGTGAGTCATGATCATGCCCTGCACTCCAGCCTGGGTGACAGAGTAAGACTCTATCTCAAAACAAAACAAAACAAAACAAAACAAAAAAACAGTTGACTTGTCATTCTCTATACGCTGAGTGAATTAGTCAACTTAGCATTATCACTTTACATGCATTCTTTCAAGTAATCTTTACAGCAACCCTCTGACATAGGTACCATGGTCCTCAATTTACACAGAGGAACCTGAGGCACAGAGAGACTGAATAACTTGTCCCGGGTCACACAGCTGGCAGATGGGGACACTGAGGTCCAAATCAGAGCCCATGTGGGATATGCTGCCTCTTGGCAACTACGCCTTGTATTCCAAAGTGCTTGTTACGTGCAGAAATGAATGAATGAATGAATGAACGAATGCAGCAAGATTTCCTTGTATGGGGATTTACAGATGTTAAACTATGTTACTGGCTGGCAAGAACAAGTTGCTGCCCTCGTTTTCAGAGAGTTTAGGAGAAGCAGCGGGTGAGTGCAGCAAGGGGTTGGGTGTCCAATTATGAAGCTAGGCAGGCCTGCGTTAGATGTGGAGTCCATGTAGGGCCATGGAAAGGGTATTTGGCCTCTCCAAGGCTGAAAATTAAAATAATAATAAGGGCATTTGCCTCACAGAATGGTTGTGAGGATCGGATAATGTGCAGTATCTGGTTCCACAGTCAGCATTTTGCTCGTATTTCCCAACTGAGTGCACGTACACGTACATACTACACGCATGGATACTTGGCTACCCACACCCAACTGCATGGAACACACTCCAGCTGTCATTCTCCGGTGTCCACACACGGACACTTTCCCCAGTGACCCCAGAATCACCCCGACTCATCTCCTCCTTTAATCTTGGTTCTTTCAGCATTTATCCTTGGTCTTGTGCTAGAGGTGCCTCCTCCTTCCCTTTCATCCAGATTGCAGCAATACACCTACTTATCTAGACCGTTTTTGTTTTTTTTGTTTGTTTGTTTGTTTGTTTGTTTTTTTGAGACGGAGTTTCGCTCGTTACCCAGGCTGGAGTGCAATGGCGCGATCTCGGCTCACCGCAACCTCCGCCTCCTGGGTTCAGGCAATTCTCCTGCCTCAGCCTCCTGAGTAGCTGGGATTATAGGCACGCGCCACCATGCCCAGCTAATTTTTTGTATTTTTAGTAGAGACGGGGTTTCACCATGTTGACCAGGTTGGTCTCGATCTCTCGACCTTGTGATCCACCCGCCTCGGCCTCCCAAAGTACTGGGATTACAGGCTTGAGCCACCGCGCCCGGCCCGTTTTTTGTTTTTAGATGGAGTCTCGCTCTGTTGCCCAGGCTGGAGCGCAATGATGCGATCTCAGCTCACTGCAACCTCTGCCTCTCGGATTCAAGCAATTCTCCTGTCTCAGCCTCCCCATTAGCTGCAATTATAGGTGCCCACCACCACACCTGGCTAGTTTTTGTATTTTTAATAGAGACTGGGTTTCACCATGTTGGCCAGGCTAATCTCGAACTCCTGAACTCAGGTGATCCACCCGCCTCAGCCTCCCAAAGTGCTGGGAGTACAGGCATGAGCTACCACACCCAGCCTCATCTGTACATTTAAACAAGCTTTTACACAAAGCACACAGACAGCAACACCCAGAAGAGGCCATGCGCTAGAAATCCGGTATCATCTGTGCACATAGAAAAGCCTCCAGGAAGCTAACCACCTCATCATACTCACCTTTTCACATTCCACGTTTCCAAGGCCCATTGAAAACCACAACCACACACCATCCATGCACTTCTCCCAGCATGGGGGACACCAAGTCATCTCTGCTCCATGAGCAGTGCTGTCCGTCACATCTTCCCCTTAATGGATGCTACGAACTGAAGTGCGCCCTTGAATTCATATGTGAAGCCCTAACCCCCAGGGTGACTGTGTTTGGAGACAACGTTGGTAAGGAGGTAATTAAGGTTAAAGGGGTCATAAGGGTGGGGCCCTGATCTGACAGGTGTGGCGTCCCTCTGGGAAGGGAGAGAGATCCCAGGAATGTGTGTGCACAGTGAAGAGGCCACGTGAGGACACAGCAAGAAGGCTGCCTTCTCCAGAAGAGGAGAGAGGCCTCAGAAGAACTCACCCTGCTGACACCTTGATCTTGGACTTCCAGCCTTCAGAACTCCAGAAAAATCAATGTCTGTGGTTGAGGCCGCCCCGTCTGTGGGACTTTGTTATGGCGGCCCAAGCAAACGGACACAATGGGCCTCTTTTTTTTACCCCTTAGTTTTAGATAAATACTGCCTTGTACTTACATTTTCACCCTTCAGAAACTCTACACAACTAATTAAGAAGTGAAATCACAATTTGTATGCCAAAGGAGAGGTTACAAGATATTTCCTTACTGCATAAGCTAATGGATACTGACATCAACGCTACATCCTCCAAAAAAAAATGGGTCTAGGATCTTGCCCGGGGCTGCAAGGGGGGTTGTCTGGTGGAGCTGGTGCTCCAGCCAAGATCTTCAGATCCCAGATTCCCATGCACGTGTATCTTCCTGGGTCCTTCCGAGACACAGATGAACAATCATTATGTGCAATTTTCACTTGCTCCTACCCTCCTCTAGCTCTTCATCTCTTTTGAAAGGGATGGGACCGTGCAAAAGGAGCCTGGGGAGTGGGCAGGCCTCCTGGAATATCCCTGGATTTTCCCTTGAAGGAAAAATCCCTGGTGGTCACTCACCACCAGGCACGCTCTGAGGATGCAGCGGTAGGAGGTCCTGGCAGTTCTGACCCCTTCTTTCAGAGGCCGCTCCATGCAGGCAAAGCACTGTGTGATGGCCTTTTCCAGCAGCTCGACCTTCTCTTCTGTGAATCTCCACAGGTCACTCACATGCAAGTGTTCATTCTAGGGACAAAGACCATAAAAGCATCAGGCCACCCACTCCCTCAGAGCACCTTCTCCTCAAGCTTTGCTTCCTTTAAGCTTGTCACCAGCTCCAGATTCAGCTTGTCACTCAGAGCTGACCTCTCTTTATTGTCCCCACATGGCCTCACTCAGTGCACAGAAACCCCTAGGCTTTGTGGGGTTACAGAACAGAACAAATACCTGCCTGGTACGACTTGTTTCATTTCTTAAAAATCACAGTCTCTGCTTATTCAGCAACTTATTTCAGATGTACAATGCATCAGACTATTTGGGGAAGTAGCTATCCACGCAGAAATCCAATTGCTGTTGAAACAGATTTTTCCAATGACATCTGATTCAACAAACATTTCGTGAGCTTTGACTCTGCACCAAGCAGTTTTTACGTATAATACTTCTCAAATTTTAACGTGCGTACAAATCACCAGAAGATCTTAAAATCCGAAATCTGAGGCCCTGGGATTCTGCATTTCTAGCTAGTCCCCAGGTAATGCTGGTCTCCCGGGCTATGGACCACACTTTGCATAGCAAACCTACACAACCACAAAAATAAATCCATGCTCCCGTCTTCAAAGAATACAGTCTCATCAGGGAGAAAACATGTATTCAAATAATACAAGGAAGTGACCACCCGAGAAAGCCTTGACCCCTAGGTGCCTGATAGGGTTTGCTGTGTGCCTACTCAGATACCATTTTGAATCGTAGCTTCTATAATTCCACGTGTTGTGGGAGGGACTTGGTGGGAGATAATTGAATTACGGGGTTGGTTTCCCCCATACCATTCTCATGGTAGTGAATTTTGTCTCACGAGTTCTGATGGTTTTACAAGGGGAAACTCCCTTTGCTTGGCTCTCATTTCTCTCTTGTCTGCCACCATATAAAACATGCCTTTTGCCTTCGACCATGATTGTGAGGCCTCCCCAGCCACAAAGAACTGAGAATCCATTTAAATCTCTTTTTCTTGGTTGGGCGTGGTGGCTCGCCCCTGTAAATCCCAGCACTTTGGGAGACCAAGGTGGGCAGATCAAAAGGTCAGGAGCTCAAGACCAGCCTGGGCAATATGGTGAAACTCCATCTCTACTAAATACACAAAAATTAGCTGACAGAAATTAGGTGACAGTCACCTATAGTCTCAACTACTCAGGAAGCTGAGGCAGGAGAATCACTTGAATCCAGGAGGTGGAGGTTGCAGCGAGCTGAGATTGTGCCATTGTACTCCAGCCTGGGCAACAAGAGCAAGACTCCTTCTCAAAAAAAAAAAAAAAAAAATCTCTGTAAATTACCCAGTCTTGCTTATGTCTATATAAGCAGCATGAAACCAGACGAATACAATGGCAAACTGGGAACTCGCAGCCTTGTTCCCTGCCTGGGAGCCTTAGCGGACCCCACAGTGTCTGGAGCAGACAGAGCCACACTCCCCAGCTTGGCCCTTAAGGCACTTCATAGCCAGAACTCACCCCACCTCGCCAGCACCACCACCTGTTTGCCCAACATGTCCTGCCAAGTAGCTACCCCTGGACTTGCTGCCATTCCCCAAACATGCTGTCCATCTTGTGCCCTCTGGGCCTTGCTGATTTCATCTTTGTTACTTCAGAGACAAAGCTCAAAAGTCCTTCCCATGAGGCACCTTCCCTGAGTCCCCAGGTAGAGGTGGGGCTCCCTGTCCTGTGCTCCCACCACAGTTCCCACCGTCCTGCGCCACAGTGTGTCTCCTGTCGTATGATGTCTCTCTCTTGTTCCGTATGTCTCCTTCCCTGGATAGGAACTTGCCAGAGCAAAAGGCTACTAGGCATTCATGCTCCTTTATTCCAGGGCATAGCACAGACAGCAAAACCCATAGACACCTGGGGGTTGAATGAGTGGCCCAGAGAAACTGCTAGATAATTCAGGCTTTTAAATTCTACGCCAAATAGACAGAAGTAGCTCTGAAATTGATGTGTGACCTGATATAGGTGATTTAACTTCTCTGGTTCTCAACTGTATCATCTTTACAGTAAGTGAATTGGGTTGAATCACCTTGAAAACAACCCCCCTCTGAAACTCTGTGAATCTTGGAGTAAATCAGTTTTAGAATGTATGGAGACTGTGTAGCATTTGGTACACTCTGGGAACTTTCCTCATTCTCACCATTAAGAATTCTACAAGGCATATTTTTCCCCAGGGCATCCTTCAGATTCTTTTGAATTTGTGGTGTCGCCAATTATGAAAATGAAAGAAGAAAGAAGTCATGGAAAGAAAAGCTATGGGCACGATTCTCACAATGCCTCACTCTTGATAAATGTCTGTTGAATAAACAAAAGAACGGTAAGAAAGGGAAGAGCTGAGAATATAAGAACAATAAGAAACAGAGAAGCTGGCACTTAGTATGAATAAATGCCGACTTCATTAGCCATTGAGATGTCATCATCAACTTACTATGGATTCTTAAAAAATAATGAGTGCTCACTTAAAATCACTAACTATTCAAACTCTAAATGTTGGGTTTCAGTGACCATCTTTGAAAAAAATAATCAGTCACACACAAAGTAGATTTGATTTTTCAGAATTCAAAGGGACTCACAAATTCTTGCCTTCCAACTTTCTATCAAAGAGCTGAGAGTAAGACCAATATCTAAGGCCAAGGAATTTTGAACAAAGTTGCCAGCAACTCCCTAACAGCTGTCACAGAAGTGCCAGCCAGCCCCTTGTCCTCTATTTTCCAGCACTTGGAGTCTGGCTCCAGAGGTGAATCTGAGCCCCTCTGAGTGCTGAACTTCCATATCAGCAAAGAAAAGCATGTGGGGCGAGCACTTCAGGCCTTGATGGCAAAATGCCTTGCCCTTATGTCTGTGAAATACACCAACCACACACAGCCCCAAATCAGATTTATTTTCCATCAGCACTTCCAAAAGCAATCTTGTGCTGTGCAGACAGACAGATTTCACCCTGAAGAGCTGTTTGGGGAAGCTGGAAGGTCAAACCCTTCACCAACAATTTCGGCGGACAAAAGTCAAATGAGAAAATCTCAGATTCCAAGAGTTTTGTTTTCTTTTCTTCTTGTACAACTAGACCAAAACGAGCCACAAGAAATATGGTTTTAAAAGACTGAATGTTGCTCTATATGTCCCTTTTATGCAGAAGAAAGGCCCCACACCACTAAAGACTTTATACTACCAAAGGCTCTGGGTGGCACTGCTTACTCCCACATGGAAGTCAGGTCTCGAGTATTTGCCTCCCTTGCCAACCTGCAGGGTCAGTCTCGGCCCACTTTCCCCATCTTCAGGACCAGCTCCCTGACCACTCACAGAGCCTTATTCATGTTCCTCTGCCCCTTCCCTGTTCTAGTATAACAAGAAGACAAACAACTGTGCACATCTGACGGGTGAAGGCAAGTGTCGAAATAGACGAAGAGCAACCAGATGACAACAGGCAGAGGCTGTTTATTCAGAGCTCACTACAGCAAGGGAGTCGGCCACCATCATTTGAATTTAGCAGAGACTCAAAAGCACGTAGAGGAGTGGAAAAGCTTCACGGTGGACAAAAAAGGCTTTAGGGGTGCCCTGATTGGAGGCTGTTGGCCTGGGGACACTAGAGATGGGCTGGCTGAAAGCAGAGAGGTCAATGTCGTTGGTTAGGCATACCAAACACATACCCTGATTGGTAGTAAGTTGGAAGCAGGGACAAAGATTAGGGAAGTTATTCATCAAGTCCCGGCCATCTGGTGCTGATTGTTACAGTTATTCTTCAGCCTCCTGGGTTGTTATTAGAGACAGCAGTTTAACATCCTGCAAGTCTGACTTACAGACAGAAGGGTTCCTGGGCTGTTTATTGTAGATAAGAGGTTGGTTTCTGGCAGGCTGCTACACGTTGTGGGTCAGAGATTTATTTTTACATGTGGTCCAGCCATTGTCTCTGTATATTCTATCTCTCATAAGGAGACAATACAGCTGGTGACTGATGACAGTAAGAGGACTTTTCCCCACCCCACCGAGTCTCTAATCTAGCAGATTATCCCTCTGATTTTAGGGTGAAAAAGAAATCATCCATAAAAGAGATAAATGTATCAATTGCTATGAGAAAAGTAATTGTAACTACTTGTTCAGAATGCCTGCATTCTTGCCGGGGAAGATAAGTATCAAAACTCTACTGAAAGTCCCTCCTAGCTTCTATCCTCTCCCGTTACTTTACTGTGCTCCTCTGAGCCTGAGATTCTGATAGCACCAGAGCACACAGGGCATCCAGAGACAGATGAAACATTCTGGGGCTGTATACATAAACACACCTCTCCAGGAAAACCAAAAAGAGTCTGCATTCCACTAGAAGCCAGCCAAATCACACCTGCCATCGCTTAAACACATTCCGCCTTGTTCAAGTCTCAGGAGGGAGGGAAAATACCTACTATTTTGACATTTTCCTCTCAGTCCATCTGCCTCAGGTAAAACAGTATTTCTTTCTCCTTTACCCAAATGTGATGATTTTAACCCTCTCATTATCTTTTTGTCCTCTCAGACTCTCTGAACTTTGTATATTCCTTTAATAGGAAAAGCAAAAAAATATCGTAAGTGAATTCTCTAACTTGGTGAAAGGAAATGTTCTGCTCAAGTGGGAGAGAATACAAAAGCCCAGTGTCTTCCATACCGGCAGCTTCTGCGTGGAGTTGAAACTATCCGTGAGGAGCAACAGGCCAAAGGCTTCGGTCACATACTTGGTCACTGTCCTCTTCTTCTTGACCAAGAGACTTTTCCTGATGTCTTCTCTTAACTTAGGGATTTCTGGAAGTCACAGGCAGCACAAACCATTGTAAAAGGCCAGAAGTGTGTGGTCAAGAGAATCCGTAAAAGTTGAACCATGAAGATGGCAGTCTGAATGAACTGGAGATGAGATCCCCAGTGGGCTGGACACCTACAGAAGCAACCTCTCTGAAATGCACTTTTCCCACGTCTAGGATCAATGACTGATGAATGGTAGATCAACAGTATTGCATATTCATTTTATTTAGCTGTATAAAGAAAGCTACATGGAAAATACAGGCTGGTTGAAAACCCAGGCTCTTTCCTTTGGACACCTATCACCTGCAGAGGTAAACCAAAATGTTCACAATTCTAGAATCTCAGCCCTTCGCTCCCCCTAGATTTTTCTATCTATGGCAACTAACCATTAGCACCACAAGAGCCCATGCTTGCTATAGAAAGAAACAAGAACCTCTGACATGCGTGTCACATCCTACTCGTTGTGAGTCACAAGAAAATAGAGGCCACTCTACCTTTTCCCCATTATTCTTATATGTGGCAATGTCTCTATATTATATTCCTTCCAGATACCATGCTAATTTTTTTTTTTTTTTTTTTTTTTTTTGAGATGGAGTCTCATTCTGTCGCCAGGCTGGAGTGCAGTGGTGTGATCTCAGCTCCCTGCAACCTACGCCTCCCAGGTTCAAGCAATTCTCCTGACTCAGCCTCCCAAGTAGCTGGGACTACAGGGGCGCCACCATGCACAGCTAATTTTTGTATTTTTAGTAAAGATGGGGTTTTACCATGTTGGCCAGGATGGTCTCAATCTCTTGACCTCATGATCCACCCATCTTCGCCTCCCAAAATGCTGGGATTATAGGCAGGAGCCACTGTGCCCAGCCAATTTTGTCTTTTATACCCTTAATCAAGCAGTTCCCCCATTTCTGGGAACATTTCACAGCTTCTGCTCCCTAACTTCCAGTCACATATCTACACATCTAGTAAAATGCATGCCCACTGCAAGCCACATCAAGTTCAGACGAGAGTGCAGTCCTGACCCTGCCTGCTCACCCTTTCCACTGAGCATCTAATGCACAGGGAGCTAGCTGTAGATTCTCTGGGCTTCTACTGCACTCACAGTCAGCAACAACTAATTAAGGCTTATTTTCACATCAATTTTTGCACTTGAGTTAGTATTAGCTCCTTATCCAGATTTCAAGTTCTGCGAAGAGTTATGCCTTATGCTTTCCCTGCCTCGCAGACAAAATATATAATAGTCGCTCAGAAAATAATTCTAATGCCTGTAGCTGGGTGGGAGACGACTAAGGAAATGATAACCCAATTATTAGTTTTTGGTTTTTTGTTTTGTTTTGTTTTTCTGAGACAGAGTTTCGCTCTTGTTGCCCAGGCTGGAGTGCAATGGCACGATCTTGGCTCACTGCAACCTCTGCCTCCTGGGTTCAAGCAATTCTCCTGCCTCAGCCTCCCAAGTAGCTGAGATTATAGGCGCTCACCACCATGCCCAGCTAATTTTCTATTTTTAGTAGAGAGAGGTTTTGCCATGTTGATCAGGCTGGTCTTGAACTCCTGACCTCAGGCGATCAACCCACCTTGGCCTCCCAAAGTGCTGGGTTTACAGGCATGAGCCACTACACCCAGCAATCCAATTATTTGACCTCTGCCAACCCACAGTAAGATTTGGAGGCAAGAGGAATTGTGGTCTCTGGCACCACAACAATGCAGAGAGGAAAATAATCTTTATTTGCGATTGGTATTGAAGCTGAGGCAAGTTGGCAAAAAAAAAATGTTTGTGAGGCACAAGAAGTTCTAGAGAAGAAAATTCAAAGTGCCAAACTTGATCTTGAGAATTTTAATGATGGAGATTAAAAAAACATAAATTACCAGTTTCCTCTTCAGTGAGGAGAGCCTGCTGCCAGTACTCCTGGGCGCTGACTGTATACACCAGATCTGAGGCTTCCAGAACCTTGAAGTCAGCCGGCAGTTTTCTCTGAAGTGAAAGAGTCACACAGAAAACAGAATAACTCAAACCACGCAAAGGAAATCATGCCCAGGAAATCATGCACAAGAGCCTTCAGCCAATTTCAGCTCATTCACTTCCAGTTCTCCATGAGCCCCACTGGGAACAGACAACACTCTAAATGCCTGGTGTTGCCATCTGTCCACTCCTACCAAGGTCAGAAGTTATGAGAAACTGCTGCATAGAAACTATCGTCTTGGGAGTTAATATCAATTTTAGAAGAAAAAGTGTAGCGACAATAGATGAAGGGCGTATCTCAATGTTCAGAGGGTGAATAATACCAGGATCCCTTCGCGAAAAAGCAGCACGTCTCTGGAATGGGCACTGGTGTGCCGCAGCCGGCTTGTGCCAGCTCCTGAAAGACGACAGCACACGTCCCTTCCCTACTCTGCATTCAGTGACGTCACACTGGTAGCTTGAAATTGACAATGGTGGGACTGTCTCAGTCCTGAATCGCAAACCGATAACCCAAATCTATAATCACGTTGTAATCCCCAATCTTCAACCACATAATTTCAGCTGACATGTGAGCACAGCTTGTCAATACTAAGAGGCACATTTTCCCCCATTTAATATTTCTGAAATTGAGAGGCATTTTGCAACTGTGGTAGGCCAGGTGGCAGCCACAAGGTGGTTGTCACTACCTGCATGTTAAGGGCTGCAATGTATCCCTTTCCAAAATTCACATTCAGGTCCTAACCACAGGAATTGGCAAAATGTATACATCTGCCTTTTGGGTTTTTTTTGTTTTGGGGCACTTTTTTTCTTTTGACACAGAGTCAGCTCTGTCACCAGGCTGGAGTGTAATGGCCCGACCTTGGCTCACTGCAACCTCCACCTCCCAGGTTCAAGCAATTCTTCTGCCTCAGCCTCCTGAGTAGCTGGGATTACAGGAACATACTGCCACGCCCAGCAATTTTTGTGTTTTTAGTAGAGATGGGGTTTCACCATGTTGGCCAGGATGGTCCCAATCTCCTGACCTTGTGATCCACCCACCTTGGCCTCCCAAAGAGCTAGGGTTACAGGCAGGAGCCACCGTGCTCAACCGGGATTTTTTTTTTTTTTTTAACAAAGAACTCGTTATTAAACATTTACAAGCACAACACAACAAACTGGGCTAAGATCCTATAAAAGCAACAGTTGCTTAGCCAAGCAGTTAGTGATATATTTCAAATCATAAACATTTTAATGCTGACTCATGTTGAAACAAATTATAATATTAAAGGTCAAGCAGTTAAGAATTACTTGACAAAGTCTTTTTTGGTGCTTAGAAAAATATTATCATGGAGAATTGTACTAGCATTACACAGAAATTGTATTCCACATTCTTTCATTCTTTTCACTTAGAAAGAGAAAAAACATTCACATGTAGAATGTGTATGTGCTTATGTGAGTATTTGAGGGAGGTAGAAAACAGTGGAGAGTTATAAATCTCTTCCTGATGCAAAGATAGAAAAGAGCTGAGTGAGCAGAGGCCCTGCAGTCCACTGGGACTGGTGAGAAGCTGTGTCCCTGGCAAGCCATAAGCACCTGTAGCTAAGACTGGAATACAGCTATCTGTGTAGACTGCCAGAAGCCCACTCCCACCCGCCCCTTATAGAGTCAGCTGATGTTGTACAAACGATCTGCTGAGATTTTGCTTAGACAGAGTTTTCACTCTAGGAAAAAGTTGAGGGAAAGCTGAAACTATTTTTCTACTGGGAGATGAAATTAATGTAGAATTAAATTTAAGGAGGGTTTTTAAACAGTTCCAAGAAAGAAGTGTGCTTAGCTGCGTCTAGATGTTTGCATTATTTAAAATCTGAACCTAAATCTTGTATAACTTTTCTAAAAATTATTGAAGATTAGTTAACATTTATGCTTTTTAATTGCAGTAAAAACAAATGTTTTTCTAGTGTCAGTGAAGTGACTCTAGCATAACGGGTTCATATTATTGCATAAGAGAAGCAGGAACAGTTACAGCTGGAGGGTAGAATCCAAGATGGTAGCAGGTATCCATCAAATTATGCCACAGAAAGAGTAGACACTGTTGTCATTTAAACACATGGCTTGTCATAATAAAACGTTACACAATATATTCAAGTTTGTAGAAAGATATTGTATATGAGATGACGTGGAAGCTGAAACCAGAAGGGAAGCCAGGTGTGGCGGCTCGCACCTGTAATCCCAACACTTTGGAAGGCAGAGGCAGGTGGATCACCTGAGGTCAGGAGTTCGAGACCAGCTTGGTCAACATGGTGAAACCCCATCTCTACTAAAAATACAAAAAATTAACCAGGCATGGAGGCCACACCTGAAATCCCACCTACTTGGGAGGCTGAGGCAGGAGAATGGCTTGAACCTGGGAGGCACAGGTTGCAGTGAGCCAAGACCACACCACTGCACTCCAGCCTGAGAAGCAGAACCAGACTACATCTCAAAGAAAAAAAAAATCATGACTCAATTTTTTAAAATCTACCTGAATTCAGTAACATAAATCATGACCCATTTTTTCAAATCTACCTTTTCTAGCTTTGTCATGAACACTATGTTGCAGTGATGTTGCTGTGCCACTGTCTTACTTGTATAAAATAATTTGATCTGTACCCCTAGCACTCTTTCATTGTGGTTGTTGTTGTTAGAGATAGGGTCTCTCTCTATTGCCCAGCGTGGTCTTGAACTCCTGGCCTCGAACGATCCTTCCACCTCTGCCTCCCAAATTGCTGAAATTACAGGTGTGAGCCACCGCTTCAGGCCCAATTTTTATTATTTTTAATATTATTCTCACTAAAAGAAACCCCAGATTCCTGGAGAGTAGTTGGTCCATGTCTTGGGGTAGGGAAAAATAAAGTGGACCTGAGTATCTTGTTGTGGCTACACGGCAAGAATGTTTTTTGAATGCTGACGGGAGTAATGCTAAACAGAGCCAGTTTAAAGGGCTCCCAGTAGCCAAAAAGTGACACACTAAGCATCAGAAAGAACACAATAGTTCTCATTATGATCCTAAAACTGAGTACATAAAATAAGGTATGTTAAAGTAAAGGCATTCACCAGCTCAAACAATATGCCTGAGACTGTCAAATTTCCATCTGTAGCCAGGTGCAGTGGCTCACGCCTGATATCCCAGCACTTTGGGAGGCCGAGGACGGCGGATCATGAGTGCGGGAGTTCAAGACCAGTATGGCCAATATGGCGAAATCCCGTCTCTACTAAAAATACAAGAATTAGCCAGGCATGGTGGTGCACTCCTGTGGTACCAGCTACTTGTGAGGCTGAGGCAAGAGAATTGCTTGAACCCAGAAGGCAGAGGTTGCAGTGAGCCAAGAATGTGCCAATGCACTCCAAACTGGGCTACGGAGCAAGACACCATTAAAAATTTTTAAAAAGAAATTTTCAGTCTGTAAATTCCACTTGCGCATGTCCTGAAAGTTTACCTAACTTATTGAAAAGAATGTTAACAGTCTTTGCAGGGGCACAAAAATCCCATCCGGTCAAATCAGGCAGTAAAACTTTGTGAATTAGGTTAGAATAAAAAGTTGTGTGAGAGTTGATAGTAAAAACTGGGTCAAGGCAAAATTTAAGGGAAGGTCAAGTGAACCATAACATACCAGGTAATACGAAAAGGTGTGGAGCTGGAATGCCGCGTTACTATGGGATGGGGCCCGAATCACGCATCTCGGAAGGATCCGAGTGCCCGTGTCTCAGCTCTGAATCTCAAACTAATAACCCAAATCCATAACCATATCGGGATGCCCCACCTTCAACCAAAGAATTTCAGCTGACGAGTGACCACAGCTTATCAGTACTAAGAGGTACATTGCTGCCCTGTTTCGCTTCCGAAATGGAGATGCATCTTGCAACCGCTCTAGGCCAGGTGGCAGTCACGAAGTGGGTGTCACTGCCTGCGTGTTATGGGCGGAAATGTATCCCCACCAAAATTCACATGTTGAGGTCCTAATCTCCGCTACCTCAAAACGTGTCCTTACCTGGCAACTGGGTCATTGAGGACGGCATGCGTTAAGCTGAAGTCACATTGAAAGAGGGTGAGCCCCAATCCGATGTGACTGGTGTCTTTTAAAACAGGAAATTGGGATGCAGAGACACACACGAGGAGAATGCCGTAAAGACTGGAGTGTGCCCCCACAAGCCAGGAATTCTCAGACGCAAGGAGAGAGACCTGGAACAGATCCTCCCCGCACCTCCACGGGGAGCACAGCTCTGCGAACACCTTGACTTTGGAGACTTCCAGCCTCCAGAACTGGGAAAGAATCATTTTCTGTTGTAAGGCCGCTTGCCTCGCCAGGCGCTCGGACACACCCACCCATCTCTGCGCCGGAAATCGACGTCACATCTCTGCGCCCAGAACCTACCGCAGGAGCACATGCTCTCCTGGAAGGATCCGGCCAATGTAACCCAAGCCGGATCCTGTATTAGGGAAATCCCGCCCCACAATCTACCTACCAATAGCAGCTTGCCCCATCCACGTCCGGCTCCCCCAACAACCAATCAGAGCACCCTGCTCCTCCTCGCTCGCTATAGCTAAAAACACCCTAAGCCTTAGGAAGTCAGCTCGACTTCTGTGGCCCCCCTTTCCCGGACCATAGAACCTCGCCAGGGAGCTGAATAAATTGGAATTTAATTGTTCTTATACTGGCCTCAGTTTCCTCATTTTAAACTCGGCAATAACCCTTACACCAGGCTAATCAGCTGTGGTGCTTGGAAGGTTCATACACCGCCCATGGGCGAACTTGGTCACAGCTGTTCACGTTGCCCTTCCTTCTAACAAATTGTATGCATTGCTTAATTGCCATTTAATATGTCTTCTAAAAGATTATGTTGGCCGGGCGCGGTGGCTCAAGCCTGTAATCCCAGCACTTTGGGAGGCCAAGGCGGGTGGATCACGAGGTCGAGAGATCAAGACCATCCTGGTCAACATGGTGAAACCCCCGTCTCTACTAAAAATACAAAAAATTAGCTGGGCGTGGTGGCACGTGCCTGTAATCCCAGTTACTCAGGAGGCTGAGGCAGGAGAATTGCCTGAACCCAGGAGGCGGAGGTTGCGGTGAGCCAAGATCGTGCCATTGCACTCCAGCCTGGGTAACAAGAGCGAAACTCCGTCACAAAAAAAAAAAAAAAAGATTATGTTATGATTCAGCACTGAAAATTTAGCGTTTTCCAGGCCTTTCGTGGAAATGGAAACGTGGGGCGTGTATTTGATATTAGTGAAAAAAATGTGCGTGGTTGGTGGATTAGACAGTAGTTCCAGATTTTCTTGCAAAGCAACACCTAAGTGCTTCATGGGACCTAGGAAAGGCAGATGTCCACGTGTAGATGAAGCTGGGCTGTGTTTTGATACTGAAGCATGCACAGACTGACTGCCTATCACATGCTCCACACACACAGAAAAAGTGCTGAGATGGAAACTCAAAGAATGCCTTATAAGGAACTTGAGTTTCATGTTTTCTGTCATTACAACTAAATTTGCTCCAAGGCCAAGTGCTATGGCTCACACCTGTAATCTCACAGCTCAGTGCTTTGGGACACCCAAGCAGGAGAATTGCTTGAGCCCAGGAATCAGAGACCAGCCTGGGCAACATAACCTGTCTCTACAAAAAAATCACAACATTAGCTGGATGCGGTGGTGCATGCCGGTAGTTTTAGCTACTTGGGAGGCTAGGAGGAGACAGAAGGATCAGTTTAGCCTAAGAATTCAAGGTTGCAGCGAGCTATAATTGCACCACTGCACTCCAGCCTGGGTGACAGAGTGAGACCCGTCTCAAAAAAAAAAAAAAAAAAAAATGCTCCAAATGACGGCATGTAGCACAAATAAAGGTTTCACAATAATTCAAACTGAAATAAAGTGAAATAAACCTTGCTGTAGGAGGTGTGGGTTGGAGCCTCAAAGAACTTGCACCAAACAGTAACAGCTGTAGCAACCCTGCAGGCTGGTGTATCTCTGCCCAGGCCCTAACGTACACAAACCAATTCGGCACGCTTATTGGCAATCAACACAGTTGTGAATTGTGTGTTGAAGTATTCTATGTTTCCATTTCCAGGGATAATATGATTAGGCACCCATACAATACATATTTCTTTAATGCCAACAAGAACAATTCAGGAGACTAAGACCAGCTTGACTAAGTTTTGCTTCATTAAAACTGGCATTCAAGAATTGCCTGGTAGAAGATTTGGCTTAAGTATGAGGCCTAATGTCACGGCACAGCACTAGAAACAAAAGCTTTGAAATTTTCAATTCTGCATTGTACAACAGATGTTTTCTGTATCAATATTAATGAAGGTAAAATACAGAAATTGAATATAGAGCTGGACATCAGCCAAATGTTTTTACTATTGAATCCAATACCAAAGATTTCATTTCAGCCAAACATATCATCATCACATTGTACTTACTCTGATACATCCCTCATGTTGTTTTGTTTATATTTTGCCTTAAACTTGGTTTTAGTTTTATAGATGTATAAGACTATCATAGGCCGGGCACGGTGGCTCATGCCTGTAATCCCAATACTTTGGGAGGCCAAGGCAGGTGGATCACCTGAGGTCAGGAGATCGAGATTAGCCTGGTTAACATGGTGAAACCCCATTTCCACTAAAAACACAAAAATTAGCTGGGCATAGTGGTGGGCACCTGTAATCCTAGCTACTCGGGAGGCTGAGGCAGGAGAATAGCTTGAACCAGGCAGGCAGAGGTTGCAGTGAGCTGAGATTGCACCACTGCACTCCAGCCTGGGTGACAGAGCAAGATTCTGTCTCAAAAAAAAAGAGAAAAAAAAAGGGCAGTCATGGTGACTCACGCATTTAATCCCAGCACATTGGGAGGCTGAGGTGGGAGGTACCCGAGGTCAGGAGTTTGAGGCCAGCCTGACCAACATGGTGAAACCCCGTCTCTATTAAAAATACAAAAATTCACTGGTTGTGGTGGCGGGTGCCTGTATTCCCGGCTACTCAAGAGGCTGAGGCAGGAGAATCGCTTGAACCCAGAAGGTGGAGGTTGCAGTGAGCCGAGATCAAGCCACTACACTTCAGCCTTAGCAACAGTGCGAGAGTCCATCTCAAAAGAAAAGGGAAAACAGACTATTCTGGTAAAGAGTTGTATATTTGTACCTATTTTAGTGACAAAATAGCAAAAAATAAGAAAACACTAAGTGCAGTTCGGGCCTTATTCCTGTCCACACCCTCTCACACTCCCTCTCTGCGCCTTTCCAAGCAACTCGCCTGTCATTCACCGAGCACAGCAGCCTCTATCACTGGTGTTCTTGCTTCTGCCTCAAAAGTGCCTGCTCAACTTTTTCACCGTACTAAAGACTACAGGTTCTTTAAAATTCTCATCAGCAGAGCACTGTGGTCCCTGCCGACCTGTAGTCACAGCTACATGGGAGGCTGAGGCAGAAGGATCACTTCAGCTCATTCTCCTGCCTCAGCCTCCCCAGTAGCCAGGATTACAAATACCCGCCACCAAGCCCAGCTAATTTTTATATTTTTAGTGGATATGGGGTTTCACCATGTTGGTCAGCCCAGGAGTTCGAGACCAGCCTGGGCAACATAGTAAAATCCCTGTCTTTAAAAATCACAGTAATAAAATTGACCGGGCATGGTGGCTCACACCTGTAATCCCAGCACTTTGGAAGCCTGATGCGGTCCAATCACCTGAGGTCAGGAGTTCAAGACCAGCCTGGTCAACGTGGTAAAACCCCATCTCTACTAAAAATACAAAAATTAGCTGGGCATGGTGGCATGTGCCTGTAATCCCAGCTACTCAGGAGGCTGAGACAGGAGAATTGCTTGAACCCAGAAGACGGAGGCTGCAATGAGCCAAGATTGTGCCACTGCACTCCAGCCTGGGTGACAGAGTGAGATTCAGTCTTAAAAAGTAATAATAATAAAATAAAATTCTGCTCAGAGGCTGCATTTCCCTTGAACACCTCCCTAGTCCCGTCTCCCCTGTCACCAGTGTGACCTGGCATCTTTCCTCCATGTCCCGCAGCACTCCAGAATTCCTCCCTGTATGGAGACCCCAGACTCTCCTGGGCCTATGCCTCAGTGGCCCACATGTTCATTCGACCCTTCCTACAAGCACAGGAGATAGGAATTATCATCTCCGCACTTTAAGAATGAGAAAATGGAGCCTTAGAGAGGTAACCGAAGCAGTGGAACTGAGTTAAACCCAAACTGTCTACTCCAGGTCAGTAATCCCAGCACTTTGGGAGGTCAAGGCAGGTGGATCACTTGAGTCCAGGAGTTTGAGACTGCCCTGGACAACATAGTGTAATTCGATCTCTACAAAAACTATAAAAATTAGCCAGACATGGTGGTGCATGCCTATAGTCCCAGCTGAGAGGCTGAGGTGGGAGGATCTCTTGAGCCTGAGAGGCAGAGGTTACAGTGAGCTGAGATCATACCACACCACTGCACTCTAGCCTGGCCAACAGAGTGAGAACCCCCCTCTGAAAAACAAAACAAAACAGTCTGTTCCACAGCTTTTGCCCTTGCAACTACACAATACCAGGTATATGTTTGCTTCCCAAAATCTGGTTGCTTGGATACAGAAAAACACATAAGGAAACCTGTTAACTCACCTCCAGTTTTTCCTTGAGAATTCTAGTCCTCTGTAGTTTTATCATTTCATTTCTTTCTAAAACAGCCTCTCGCTGACTCTGAATAGCTTGCTAGGTTGTGAGAGGAAACAGAAGCATGCAGAGAGCAGCGTTATCAACAGTGATGAGATGGTAAGACGCACGTGTTTTTGGCAGATCTTCATTTGGTCCAGACAGTCAAATATGCAGGTACTGTATCAGAATTATATACAGTTGACCCTTGGACAACACAGGTTTGAACTGCGTGGGTCCACTTATACGTGGATTCTTTTTCAATAAACATACTGAAAAAGATTTTGAAGATTTGCAACAATTTGAAAAAAACTCACAAACCCTGTAGCTTAGAACTATCAAAAAAATTAAGAAAAAGGCATATCATGAATGCATAAAATAGACGTAGATCACAGCTCAGATTCAATCATGTATTACCATGAAATGCACACGATTCATTATAAAAAGTTAAAATTTATCAAAACTTCTGTAAATACCTACAGACAGTACATGACACCATTTGCAGTCAAGAGAAATATCAACAAACATTAAGATGCAACATTAAATTATAACTGCATAAAATTAACTGTGGTACACACTATACTACTGCAATCACTTCAGAGCCATCCCTTTTGAAGTTGTGGTGAGCTCAAGTGTTGCCAATATCCACTTAAAACGCCAAACACTATGTGATGCTAATTATCTCCACGTGAGCGGTTCATCGCTCTGGCAAATTGCATACAAAAAGTGATCTCTTGCAGTTCTTATGTTTCTTATGTATTTTTCAACCTGCTTAGTGCAATACCCTAAATCTTGAATAACACCATGGGACCCATGTGAAGTCCAGTGATCCTGGAGGGCTCCCAAGTAGCAAAGAAAAGCCATGACGTTATAAGAAAAAGTTGAATTGCTTCATATGAACTGTAGATTGAGGTCTGCACCTGTGGTTGCCTGTCATTTCAGATGTATGATTCATCTTGTAAACAGATGAAGTAAACTTCCAGTATCGATAAATACAGTACCATATTGTAAATGTATTTTCTCTTCCTTATGATTTTCTCTCTTTTTTTTTTTTTTTCTTTTGAGAGGGAGTTTCACTCTTGTTGCCCAGGCTGGAGTGCAATGGTACAATCCCAGCTCACTGCAAACTCTGCCTCCTGGGTTCAAGTGGTTCTCCTGCCTCAGCCTCCCAAGCAGCCACCATGCCTGGCTAATTTTCTATTTTTAGTACAGATGGGGTTTCTCCATGTTGGTCAGGCTGGTCTTGAACTCCCGACCTCAGATGATCTGTCTGTCTTGGCCTCCCAAAGTGCTGGGATTACAGGTGTGAGATACCACACCTGGCCTTCCTTATGATTTACTTAATAACATTTTCTTTTCTCCAGCTTATTTAATTGTAAGAATACAGAACATAATACACATAACATACAAAATATGTATTAATTGACTGTATCAGTAAGACTTTCAATCAAGGGTGAGCTATTAGTAGTTAAGTTTTTGGGGAATCAAAAATTATGTGTGGATTTTTGACTGAGCAGGGGGTTGGCACCTTAACCTCTAAGTTGTTCAAGGGTCAACTATAATATCAGTCATAAAAAGTATTATTTTAAAAAGAACTAGTTCAGGCTAGACATGGTGGCTCATGTCTGTAATCCCAGCAATACGAAAGGCGGAGATGCACAGACCATCTGAGGTCAGGAGTTCAAGACCAGCATGGTCAACATGGTGAAACCCCATCTCTACTAAAAATACAAAAATTAGCTGGGCGTGGTAGTATGTACCGGTAGTCCCAGCTACTCCGGAGGCTGAGATAGGAGAATCGCTTGAACGTGGGAGGCAGAGGTTGCAGTGAGTGGAGATCGTACCACCACACTCCAGCCTGGTGACAGAGCAAGATTTTGTCTTAAAAAATAATAATAATAATAATAATAATTTAAAAAGAAAAAGAACTAGTTCATACTTACATTTCCCGCCTTTCTTTCCCTGAAACGTAATTAGAAAAATGTAGCAATTACTTAACTTTTACAATGTGTCATGGCAGTCCTTCAATGTTCCCCAAAAGTAACACACACTGCCCTGTGTCTGTGCCTTTTCATAAGGTCTTTCTTTGACCCGATGCTCTCTCTTCTGACCCACCTCCGGCATCCACTTGAAAAAAAAGTGCCTTCATTTCTCAATGGCTAGTCAGCGTTTTCTCAACCATGAACGTTTTCTGTGACCTCACTCCCCGTCCCAGTCAAAAACACAGCCCTCTCACCCTGGGTTCCGATAGCACCTGGCTCGTCCTTTCACGTATAACCTTTAACCCTCTTACAGACAATGAACTCAGAGACTAGGCAATGTGCCTCTGAATCCACAGCCCCTACCCATGTTCAATAAATGCTTATTATTAATAAATCAGATTTACTTATGTGAATGTCAGCATTGGCATTGGAAAGGGAGGGCCAGAGATACTATTCTATGCTGGGGTGAGACAGGGAAAAATGCTGGAGGGAAAAAATGAAGCTGCAATTCCAACCCATGAGACTAAGTGAATTCCTGGAGACAACAGTCAGACCTAAGCTTCAGTGGGCATAGAGGAAAGGGTGGAGGGGCTGCGCAGCTCTTGGAGGTGAGAAGCATCCGTGACATCACATCCCGGGAGCACACACCCCATGGATCCAGGAAAGCCCAGTTTATACCCACTGATACCCTCTAAGGACTAATCACTCCCCCTCTCTCTCTCGAAAATGTCCCAATATGGAAGGTAAGTTATAGTCTTCCTAACTATAGGACAACAGAGTTCTCCATGGAAATCCACATCTACTAAGCCCTAAAATGCTTACTTTTCACTGTTATTTGTTAGAACACGACTCTTAGAGAAAGCATCTACCTTCGCCTGAAGTTCTAAAACTTTAAGGACCTGTTGCAAGTGAGTTAAAAAGCTCATGAGTCTCTGGCTGGGAATGCTGGGCTTAATACCTACGTGATGGGTTGATCTGTGCAGTAAACCACTATGGCACATGTTTACCGTGTAACCAACCTGCACATTCCTGCACATGGACCCTGGAACTTAAAAAAAATAAAAAATAAAAACTTAAATGTTTTAATGATTTTTAGAATGCTCAGGAGTACAAAAATCTGAAACATCAAAGCTGTACCCTGGGCCAAGCACAGTGGCTCATGCCTGTAATCTCAGCACTTTGGGAGGCTGAGGTAGGCAGAGCACCTGAGGTCTGGAGTTCAAGACCACCCTGGCCAACATGGTGAAACCCTGTCTCTACTAAAAATACAAAAATTGTGAGGCGTACTGGCTGGCACCTGTAATCCCAGCTACTCAGGAAGCTGAGACAGGAGAATTGCTTGAACCCGGAAGGCAGAGGTTGCAGTAAACCGAGATCAAACCATTGCACTCCAGCCTGAGCAACAGGGCAAGACTCTGTCTCAAAGAAAAAAGCTGTACCCTGCCAAATAGGATTATGGGCTGTACCTCCTAGTTACGGGGCATCTATACTTTCTACATCTGTGGGGCAGGTGGGACCATCACATCCCACAGTGCAGGAGGTACCACCTGTATCTGGTACGTGTGAGTGGCACCCGCCACAGCTATGTGGGGGACACCAGCTTGGCACTAAGCAGTTACGCTGGGAGGTTCAGATTCCCGAGACAATCCAACCAAAGTCCTGATGTCCCAGGAAGTCACCAGCCTCTTCTTTCATCCCCAACAGTCACTTCCTGAAGCCCAAGATGCTCACCACATTATAAGTCAAGCTCCATGCTACTGTAATCAGGACCCACAGAGGAAAGACCCTGGCTGGAACCCCCATCCCCGAGAGCCCAGCACAATACCTTAGGTATTCTGGCAAGTGGAGTTTGTCCGTCTTGGTGACCACCAGGGCCACATCCCTACACAAGCCCCGCTGGCAGGCTTTGATGCTCTCATTCAGAAGGTCTTCGTGGGCTCGCCCTCCAGAAACTCGCTCTACGTCACTGATCACCCAGATCACCGAGCACTTGTCAATGGTCTGCAAAACATGACCACACCGTGTGTCAGCACGGGAATGGAGTCATGGCTACCGAGGACCGATTCCCTAATGTACCGCTTCAGCCTCTCCCTCCAGTCCCACCTCTCACTGCTCCCCTCCACACTCTGTGCACCAGCAGGCCAATGAACATGAAATAGCAACGCATTAATGGCATAAATGTTGCTCTATTGAATATGCAACTTTCACATGACAGTCATGCGTAGCCTTGTGACATTTCTCTAATTGTATTGTTACTCTTATCTTACCTCCACATAAATAAAAATCTGGTTCAATTCAGGGATTGAGTTTATTTGTGGTTCCTCAGCACTTTGCATATAAAGGGGTGACAAGTTTGTGACTTGATAATTAAATCATCATTTTGCTTTACACCAGTAGCTTTTAACTAGTAGAGAGATAGAAATTGAGCTATGAGCCATTTCTCATATGTGCCTTGTTCTGTTAACTCCCTGGCCACAGCCTCCGCCTAGCCCAACTTGGCCCTCAAGACTGGAGGGCCCCTCGAGCATGGGCTAGCCTCTGCATCCTGTAACATCTGGACTTAACCTTCTGCAGCGCCTTTCAGACACAGTGATGCACCAGGTCTGCTCTCCACCCGGCAGTGGGAAGCAACCATCTGCATGCACCGAAATTTCCTCTTGGGATCCACCTCACCTTAAACCCAGAGCTTACCACACAGGAGAGGCTTCACAGAAGTTTGCGGCATTAGAGATTGACAGAATTCCATAAATCAGCCCTCCAGTCCCAGTCCCAGATCCATCACTGGCTGGCTTTATCTCAGTTGTCCCCTGGAGGAGATTCTTGTTTCTCTAGACCTAGATTTGGTGGTGCACCTACCTGCAAGCTGTCACCTGGCGGCATCATTTTGATGTCTGACTGCGCCTGCATGTTTAGTGCAATGCCACCAGATGGCAGCAGGAAGCCAGAAACCATTTGACAAGTTGCAAAAGCCAAGGAACATGAAATAACGCATTAATGGCATAAATGTTGCTCTGTTAAAAATGCAACTTTCACATGACAGTCATACATAGCCTGTGACATTTCTCTAATTGTATTGTTACTTTTGTCTTAACGCCACATAAATTATGAAAATCTGGTTCAACTCAGGGATTGAGTTTATTTGTAGTTCCTCAGTGCTTTGCATATAAAGGGGTGACAAATTTGTGACGTGATAACTAAATCACCATTTTTGCTTCATACCCATAGTTTTTAGCCAGTATAGATTTTGTGCCCCAGAAGATACAGTCTCCAAGTTGTGATGATTCAGCTTACAATTTGTCTTTACAACTTTACAATGGGCTTACTGAACAATTGTAAGTCTAAGACAATCAGGATTGCTGGATTTATGATTCCAGCTTACAGTGGGCTTATCAGGATGCAATTCCATGGTACGTCAATGAGCATCTGTATTTGGCAATGTCTGGAGACAGTTTTAACTGTGACAACTCGGGGGTACTAGCAGGTAAAGGCTGAAGACGCTGCTGAATGTGCAGGAAAGCCCCACCCCCACCCCCATCCCACAAAGAATTATCTGGCAGCCCAAAATGTCAAGAGGTTAAGAAACCCAGATCCTGGATAGTGAGTTTCAGCTTGCTTTTAGCAGGGGAGCCTTTTTCAAATGAAATCTTAGTTAGAATTCCAACATACAAACTTGATTTTTTTTTTTTTTTTATGGAGTTTTGCTCTTGTTGCCCAGGCTGGAGTGCAATGGGGTGATACCGGCTCGCCACAACCTCCACCTCCCAGGTTCAAGCGATTCTCCTGCCTCAGCCTCCAGAGTATCTGGGATTACAGGCGTGCACCACCTTGCTCTGCTAATTTTTATTTTTGTTTTTTTTGTATTTTTAGTAGAGAGGGGGTTTCTCCACGTTGGTCAGTCTGGTCTCGAACTCCTGACCTCAGGTGATCTGCCCACCTCAGCCTCCCAAAATAAACTTGATTTTTAAAAGCAGAACTGTTCTGGTTGAATTGGGAGTGGAAGACATGGAACCACCATCTGCTCAATGCCCTCTACCCTCTGTCCATAAACCTTCTGGATCCATAAATCATTGCTTAAAAAGCATCAGTTTCTCGAGTTAGACAAACTCATTGGATTATGGGAAGTAAATGACGCCCAAGTGGTGAAGAGACTCATGCAGGGCCACACGACCATGGATCCTGACTCTCCTCTATATGTGAACAGACTTTGATTTAGGCAAGAAATAAAAACAATTACGGTCCTTCTGCTTTCCAAACTATAATCAACTTATAATCAACTATAATCAAGCTTTGGGCTCTGGGCCAGATGTGGTGGCTCATGCTCGTTTGGGAAGCTGAAGCAGGCAGATCCTTTGAGCTCAGGAGTTCAAGACCAGCCGGAGTAACAGGGTAAAATCTCATCTCTACAAAAAATATTAGCCAAGCGTGGTGGTGTGCACTGTAGCCCCAGCTATTCAGGAGGCTGGCACAGGAGGAGTGCTCAAGTCCAGGAGGTTGAGGTTGCAGTGAGCCACGACTGTGCCACTGCGCTCCAGCCTGGGCAACAGAGCAAGACCCTGTCTCCAACAAAACAAAAGTGGCAGCAGCTTCCAGTTCTGTTGTGTCAGCAGTGGGCAGAGAACAGTCCAGCAAGTGGCAGGCCTTTAGGATGCCAGGCTGGGTACTCCTCAGCGGCAGGGCCTCCGTCACCTTCATGTTCCCCATGCTCCTTGTAAAGTCTTTTAGGCTGACTAACAGCACCATGGATGCCATGGTGACCTCTGTGACCCGCACGGACACTCTACACAAGTTCCTGGAAAATCTGAAGTCACTGGAAGACCATGAAAAGGAGAGGAAATGTTCCAGCCCTGCGCCTAATCAACTTTGAGACATTCTCTATTGTTCCTCAGTTGATAAGGCCATTGGACTGTGTAACCGACCCTGGTCAACCTCGTGACTCCAGACCCTACGATCCCCTCCCCTCGCAGCTTGCAAAAACTGCCCTAAACTGTACCTTCTGTCACTTTGCACTGCCTACCCCAAACCTATACAACCAACTCCTATCCCACCTCCCCCTGCTGACTCTTTTTGGACTCTGCCCACCGCACCTGGGTGAATAAACAGCCATGCTGGGCACAGAAAGCCTGCTTGGGGGAGAGGTGGGGGGTCTCTTCATTCCGAGCGCGCATTTCAACAGCTCTGGGAAGACACAGGTGCTGAGAAAAGAACAGCAACCATGAAGGGGGCAGTGGTTGCATTTCAGGCCCCACACGAAGCTCCCCACCGCCAGTCAGTGGTGCCGAAGAAACAAAAAAGCATTTCTATAAAACCAGAACAGCTGGACTTAGGAGCAGCTGAGACGGCACCCCACCACCCCATCTGCATCTCCCCAGGCCCCTCGAGGAGAATGCGCCTCAGAGGGGTTCCGAGACATGTCTCAAGTCACATGACTTCTAAGTGGCAGATCAGATTCAGGGACCTCTGAAAATTCATACCGGGGTTTAGCGAAGGCAAGCCTGCAGCCTGAGAGACATGGTGGGGTGGGGGGGCACCGCGTTGTTCTCCCTGCAAAGAGGGGAGTCTTGAGTAACTTCTTGTGAGAGGAGGTCAGAAAAACCCGCAAGAATGCAGGAGAGCCGGGCCAGGCAGAGCATGCTGGGGACCACCCCTTGCTTCAGCCGGACCTCCTCAGAGCACGTTTTCTGAGCCAGAGCTGCCGGCTTTGATGAGCTGCCCAGTGTATCTGAACCGGCTGAGCCGCGGCTCCATCCAGTGAGAGGCCCTGGCTGCCGTCCTGGGCCGTCTCTCCCTTGCCTGAGCCTGGAACTAGCCAAGGTTGGAGATTTCCACCCCAGGATCTGAGGCCCTGCAGAAACTAAGGCTCACAAGGCCAGGCCTGGGGCACTGACCAAGGGCAAGGACACAGGGCCTGCCTTTCCCCTAGAGGAGTGTATAATACAGAGTGTGCCCTGGGGCGGGAGGGGTAGACAGAGCCCCAGCAGGGAAGTTAGAAAACCTGCTCTCCAGTTCAAGGCTGTGTGATCGTGGACAAGTTACTTCCCCTCTCTGAGCCTTCATGTCTTCATCTGTACCATCAGGGCAGAGGCTGGAGCCTGTCCTAGATCGTGACGGGAAGCCGTGGTCACCAAGCTCCCTGGCGCACAGTGAAACCTCGGAGCTTCAGGAACTGGATTCTTCGGCAGCTGCTGAGCTGCTCACAACTCGCTGATGCCGGTCCCTACTCCTAGTCCTCTTCCAGCTCCGGGGCTCCTGGGTTCCTCCCACCCTGCGGGCCAGAGCGCCTCTGTCTACCAAGCCCTTTCTCAATCACGGGCCCCGGTCCCCATCTTTCTGCAAGTTTTCCCAGAAAGCCAAACTCTGCTGCAGTAGAGCTAAAGACCCCGGAACTTCTCCAGGCCTGTCTTCCATAGCCTCCTTCCTCCACCCACCCCCCACTCATTCCCTTCACCCAGGAAGACGCTTCCTGCCCCCACCAGGCCAGCTTCCTCAGCCCTCCAGCTCTACGCTGACGCTGCTCTCTGGCCAGCAGCGGTGCTCAGAGGTTTCAACGGCAACCTCCTGGTTTGCCTGGGGGAGGCTGAGCATCAGTGTCCTCTCTGAGGCCCCACCCACCTCTGTATGGAAATGAGTCACTTTGTGCTCCCTTTTTAAAAGTGGTATGGCTTATTAATGACTATGGACGATGAAACTCACAAGCACTAGGATTTGGTCCCTAGAAAAGCTACTACAAAGTTAAGCAGATAATCAGCAGGTGTTTGCTGAAGGAAAGCAATCTCTCCTACCTCTCATCCATCACTTTCTGCCATGGGGTTTAGCTCTTCTATTAGGGGACGCTAAGACTCTTGCGGGAAGGCTCTGCTTCTCATTCAACATTGTTTTATTCGGCCTTCAACATTTTATTCGTAAAAGCAACACATGTGTTTACAAAATAGGCAAACGCTACACAGATGTATGTAGTAAAAAGTGTTAATAAACACAGAAACTGCTGTCAGCTGTTGGGTATGTAGCCTAGAAGGCAGGGGCTTTCTGCCGCTGTGCATTTATAAACGTTACATGCACATGTAAGCTTCTTAACGTAACAGGCCATGCTCTGCAACTCCGCATTCACTTTCCATCGAGTTCGTTCTACTATGTAAAATACAGTAGAAGTTAAGAACAGAGGCTCCCAAGGCATCTTGGCTGGGTTAAAACCCCAGTGTTACTAGCAGTAACTTACTTCACTTACAGCAGCACCTAGCACAAAGTCATACAGCAAATGCCTGCTGTTATTAGTTATGATCTTTTTGTTGAAACAGGGTCTCTGTCACGCAGGCTGGAGTGCAGTGGCACGATCTTGGCTCCCTGCAGCCTCTGTCTCCCAGGTTCAAGCAATTCTCCCACCTCAACCTCCCGAGTAGCTAGGACTACAGGTGTGGAACACCAAGCCTGCTTAATTTCTGTATTTTTTGGTAGAGATAGGATTTCACCATGTTGGCCAGACTGTTCTTGAACTCCTGATCTCAAATGATCTGCCTACCTCAGCCTCCCAAAGTGCTGGGATGGCAGGCATAGCTACAATTTTTGCACCCTCAGTGCTGAGTATAGTGTATGTGTTTGATACATGAAAAATAAATGAACAAGGAGATGCATTCTTAGAAACAGCTCAACCTCTGGCCGGGCGCGGTGGCTCAAGCCTGTAATCCCAGCACTTTGGGAGGCCGAGGCGGGTAGATCACAAGATTGAGAGATCGAGACCATCCTGGTCAACATGGTGAAACCCCGTCTCTACTAAAGATACAAAAAATTAGCTGGGCATGGTGGCACGTGCCTGTAATCCCAGCTACTCAGGAGGCTGAGGCAGGAGAATTGCCTGAACCCAGGAGGCGGAGGTTGCGGTGAGCCGAGATTGCGCCATTGCACTCCAGCCTGGGTAACAAGAGCGAAACTCCGTCTCAAAAAAAAAAAAAAAAAAAAAAAAAAAAAAGACTGGCCAGGCGTGGTGGCTCAAGCCTGTAATCCCAGCACTTTGGGAGGCCGAGGCGGGTGGATCACAAGGTCAAGAGATCGAGACCATCCTGGTCAACATGGTGAAACCCCGTCTCTACTAAAAATACAAAAAAAAAATTAGCTGGGCATGGTGGCGCGTGCCTGTAATCCCAGCTACTCAGGAGGCTGAGGCAGGAGAACTGCTTGAACCCAGGAGGCGGAGGTTGCGGTGAGCCGAGATCGCGCCATTGCACTCCAGCCTGGGTAACAAGAGCAAAACTCCGTCTCAAAAAATAAATAAATAAATAAATAAATAAATAAATACATAAAGACTATAGTCAGACACTGGGAGGAGCATGAACCGCAAGGTCATTTAGAGACAGGGCGAAGTCAGTCATTTAGACACTGTGGTTCCCAATGGCTTAGTAGAGAAAGCTGGGAGAGGGGCAGGACTTTGTGAAGTGATCCACAAAAGAAGCAGGAGCACAAGAGACCACGCAGAGAATGACAGCGCGAGCAACTGCCTCCATCCTGACCCCCCATCCTGAGGCCTGCCTGTGTCTCATGAGGTCCTTGGATAATCTTTTGATAATCCCTCTGAACTTGGGGCTGCATCAGTGCTGTTTCTGTTCCTTATAGCCAACGCAGTCTGCAGCCTCCTAGTTCTTGGTGACTGGCTGCAGCTTCTTTGTCCCCAGAGCTTGACCTCCCCATTCCACTCTGTCCTTCAGCACTCTGCTGACTTGAGCCACTGTACTGCTGATCTTTCTCATACATCACACACATCCTTATCCCGGCTCCAACAATCACAGCCTGTGATTCCTCCCTCCCCAGTTTCTCTGGCTGCTCATATACTGCCAGGGCCCTGAGGCTTAGAACATAGAAATTAGAAGAATTTGGCGGAGTGTGGCGGCTCACGCTTGTCATCCCAGCACTTTGGGAGGCCAAGGCAGGTAGATCACAAGATCAAGAGTTCGAGACCAGCCTGGCCAACACAGTGAAACCCCGTCTCTACTAAAAATACAAAAATAAGCTGGGTATGGTGGCCGGGTACCTGTAATCCCAGCTACTCAGGAGGCTGAGGCAAGAGAATAGCTTGAACCCAGGAGGCGGAGGTTGCAGTGAGCCGAGATCACAACGCTGCACTCCAGCCTGGGTGACAGAGCAAGACTCTGTCTCAAAAAATAAATAAATAAATAAATTAGTAGAATTTAATTCCAGTGAACTCATAAAATCCCCGAAGCTGAAAGCACAGCATTCTTTGTTGCTTGAGAAAAGATAGAGGCGTTGAGGGAAGACAGAGCTAAGCCTACTAAAGACAGTCACCTTTTTCCACATCTCGTCCCTCTTGCTGTTGAAATCGCCTGTGCCTGGGATGTCCACCAGCACGACCCCTTCTGGGATCAGGTCGGATTTGGGAAGAGTCACTTCCACATGTTTGATCAAGGGCCAGATGTGCATCTCAGCGGCCTCTCCATCCCAGTCTCTCCTCTGCATGCGGATGTAGGGGTCCAGCTTGTTGGAGAGCTCTTCTGCCTGAAGAAGAAGGGCAGAGTCACACACACCAGCCATGCTCCTAGCTCTGTTCTCCCAGGTTGGCTGTGAAGCAGGTTCACGGTAGGTATGCCGAGTAAGGGTAAGAAGTGTACCCAACAAGTGGCGTCAGGAGGCCTGCAATCAGGTCCGCAGGACCTAGAACCTGAGAGCCAGGAAGGACCCTGGAGATCAGGAAGTTCAAGCTCCTTACCTTACAGATGGAACAAAAACCAGCGTTAGCTCAGATGGAACCTTGGGGAAGTTATAACATTGCTGGATAATAAGTTTATCTTCTCAACTACACTGAGCTCTAAAATTAACGTAAGTAATATGTAATTGACATTTGCACTGCCAGAAAGCTAGCAATGACTATAGAAAATTGACAGTGATATGGTAACCATATTTTCCAAATTGAAAATTGATCTAAAATTGGATCTTAAAAAGAGTTTTAAAATTTGTCTTCCGAATACAAAAAATACCTTGAGATGTAGGCATTTCTAGGATAGTTTAACAATGGTGGATGAGAGAGGGAATAGTTCTTAGACTACGGTTTCTGCTTAAACGTGTCTTGGGACAATGACCCATCCATGCCAGCAACTACAAGAGCGAATCTCAAATGGGGCACTTCAGTGTATGGTAGTCATTGTTTAATCAATTTCTATAGAATAGTACTGTAAGAAAGATAAGAATGTCAATTCTTTATATAAATATACATATATATATATATATATATATATATATATATATATATATATAGAGAGAGAGAGAGAGAGAGAGAGAGAGAGAGAGAGAGAGAGAGAGTGTTTCGCTCTTGTTGCCCAGGCTGGAGTGCAATGGTGCAATCTCAGCTCACACAACCTCTGCCTCCCAGGTTCAAGCAATTCTCCTGCCTCAGCCTTCTGAGTAGCTGGGATTACAGGCACATGCTACCATACCCGGCTAATTTGGTATTTTTAGTAGAGATGGGGTTTCTCCATGTTGGTCAGGCTGGTCTCAAACTCCCAAGCTCAGGTGATCCTCATGCCCCGGCCTCCCAAAGTGCTGGGATTACAGGCATGAGCCACCGCACCCAGCCTAGAATGTCAACTCTTAAGAGAGTTTAAATTAAATCACTGGATTTATTACAATCTGGGTAACTGGTAACAGATTTCATCAATATCAACCAAATGATAAACCACAAAAAAGGAAATAAAAGCTATTAAAGATATTGTCATTTTAAAATAGAGCAGATATCATAAGAGAGAAGTCCAGGATACGGGATGGGCTTGAAAAGACCCTTTCTACAAGAGGTCTCAGTCCCGTAAACTGGTTCCGGGCAAACATCATTAGAGAAGGCAAACTCAGATTCTAGAATCTCCAGTGGAAACCCTGAATTTGTAAGCTCAGTCATTGAGACAGTGATTCTGCTGACCTTGTTTCAATGAGTAAATTTATGATGCTGCGAAGGAGTATTTCCAAACACAGAGTTGCCAAAGACATTGATACCCTTGTGTAAGCTGTGTGTATTCAGATAAAGTAACTAGACTTGTAATCATTGTGTTTCTTACATATGCTCAGCCTATGTTTTAGATATTAGAAGTGTAATCATTTTAATAGTAATATTCATCTTAAAACTATAAGAAATGGGAACTATATTTGTTTGATTTTCCAGTTATATAAGAGATGGCATTCATTTGATTTCTAAGTGTGCCTAGTCACGTATTTAAAACATTTTGAGAGACTCAAATACATTGAACTTTAACTGTAGTGCAAAAAGCCTAAAGAAGTATGATTGATTATGTAAGTAGCATTAAATAGTTAAGGGAGATTTGCTTTGTTAATCAAGAGATAATTGAACATAAACTTTAGGACACGTACAAACATTGTACCCATTTTACCAATAATCACTAGATTTACAAATAGAATAGCAATATTTTAAAGGTGTATTTAAAGGTGAGAGATACAAGGAAAAACTAGGTTTTTAAATGCATAGCTTTCCTAAATTGAACATCAGTTCCACAAATACTTTGTTTTAATTCAGAAATGAAATCTTAAAATGAAAATTGTTGATAAAAACAAGATTATTGTTCTACTAGTTGCCTGTCCAGTCTCCATCCTGTCCCTCTTTTGTACCAGCAGAATGCTGATCTGTCTGACTGGGAGGCAATGCAGTGAGACGGGTCTGAGGCAGTCATGACAAGTCTGCTTTTCACTTTCTCTGGACTCCCTTTCAGCCCGCAAGGGCCATGTGGCTCAGTTCAGAACTCTGAAATCTACATGGAAATTTGTCAGAGGTATTTCTGGGAAAGCTTTTACTTTCTGATGAAAGGGCAGATGTGGCTGATGCCAACTTTTTATCCGCTTTTTCCTTCCAGTAGGCTAGCGTGAAGTCTGGCACTCCGGGAGCCATCTCATGATAGTGGGGGTGGTGGAAGACCAGGGGAACCAGAGAGGCTGATCTTGACACTGCTGGGCCACTAGACCAACCTGACCCCTGTTGCCCCCAGACCTCTTACATGAGAAAAGGACTCAATCCCTGTTTGTTTAAGCCACTATATGCCTTCTTAAAAAACCACTGGCAGCCGGGCGCGGTGGCTCAAGCCTGTAATCCCAGCACTTTGGGAGGCCGAGGCGGGTGGATCACGAGGTCGAGAGATCGAGACCATCCTGGTCAACATGGTGAAACCCCGTCTCTACTAAAAAAAAAGTGCAAAAAATTAGCTGGGCATGGTGGCACGTGCCTGTAATCCCAGCTACTCAGGAGGCTGAGGCAGGAGAATTGCCTGAGCCCAGGAGGCGGAGGTTGCGGTGAGCCGAGATCGCGCCATTGCACTCCAGCCTGGGTAACAAGGGCGAAACTCCGTCTCAAAAAAAAAAAAAAAAAAAAAATACCACTGGCAGGCCACAGTATCCCTAATTATTCTCGAGTAACTGCAAATAGTCTTTTTTTGTACACAGTAAGTCCTCCATTCACATATTAAGAATTCCCACTTGATAGCCATAAATAATAAGGAGAACTTGGGCTATGGATACTTCTAATTTGGGTAGCAACTTATTTCTTATTTCATACAAACACTATACCAGGAGCCAGTCCCCTGAGCAGATTCAACTGTTAGACTTGAGACCCAGGATGACATCAAGGAAAGTACGAACGGGACGCTACCTCTTCAGCCTTGAGGGTGATGACTCTGCAGGTGGGGATCTTCCCTTTGGGCTTCGCCTTCAGCAACTCCTCATAGTTCTTACTTTCCGCCCCGTTTCCATAAACCATCTGTAGCTTCCGGGCGGCTTCCTCCGCTGCTTCATCCCCGTTCCATGCATCCGCCTCTTCTCCACCCAACTCCTCCGTCCTGTGCAGGAGTTTAGTCAGGTTCTTCAGCTCCTCCCTCCACTCCTGCCAAGGCAGAGTAGGGCCAAGCCCCTCTTGACACAGATACAGAGAACACTGACAGAGGGGTCCATCGCCCCCTGTGGAAGACCAGGTGCCTGCATATTCAGAAAATCTAGGACATCTACTTTGGGGTCTTGAAGAGGGAAATGGCTTGCCCCAAGTCTCATAACAATGTAGGACCGGGCCAGACCCCTCCAGCCCACTAAATTGACTTTCTCCTGGAATGGGCTCTTTTCAGTCAACAAAGGCATGGAATATAATGTCTCTGAGAGACAATGAGAAGGAAAGGAAGGAAAAAAGGAAGGGAAGGAAGAAGGAAAGGAGGGAGAGATGGAGGGAAGAGAAAGTATGAAGAGGAGGGGGGAGGGAGGGGGAGGAGGGGGAGGGAGGGGGAGGGGAGGGAGAGGGAAGGGAGGGGGAGGGGGAGGGAGGGAACACTTACCTGGTCAGAGAGAAGATGGATTTTGGCCTCATACTGTCCACAGCAGCCAGAGCTCACTTGTACAATGCAGGAAGTACATATGCTTTCTCCAGACACTGGTAGAAACATTGCTTGCTGGATGATGGCATTGATCAGGGAGCTCTTCCCAGCCCCGGTGCTTCCAAATAACCCAATGTAGATTGGGTCCGATGTCGGCTTTTCGATCAAAGCAAGGAGCCTATTTCTGGATGAATTTTAAAATGCACATTGTCATGATCATCAAAGTTTAGACTGAAGAGCATTGAAACAGAATGCAAAGGAACTGAATTCTAATCCTGGGCACGTCACCACAAGCTTCTGAGTCTCTGCTCTCTCCTGTGTCAAAGGAGAATATCAATCCCTGTTTACTACACGGAGTTGCCAGGGAATCAAGTGAGATTATGCAAAAATATTTGGTAATAATAATTCCACACAATCCCTGTAATGTCTTTATAGATGTGAGGCAACTTTATTTGTATTCCCTGGAAATTGCGTATTTCTTTTTTTGTTCGTTTATGTGTCTGAGACAGGGTCTCACTTTGTCACCCTGGCTAGAGTGCAGTGGTACAATCATGGCTCACTGCAGCCTCAACCTCCGGGGCTCAAGTGACCTTCTCGCCTCAGCCTCTGAAGTAGCTGGGACTACAGGCATGCTCCATGCTGCCTGGCTAATTTTTTTGTATTTTGTGTAGAGACGGGTTTTGCCATATTTGCCAAGTGGTCCACCTGCCTCGGCCTCCCAAAGTGCTGAGATTACAGGTGTCAGCCACTGCACCTGGACAGAAATGGCATATTCTTGACCCTAGAAATACCATGTGTACAGAGGTGAAGTATTAATCGTGTTTGGAGCAACACAGAGTCTTACTGAGCAGGAGAAATTGTACCCTCAGCACCACTCAAGTCCTTCACATTGGCAGGGCACAAATAATTGGGGACATGAGCCCGGAGTCACACAGCCTGGGGTGAATTCTGGACCTTCTCACTGACCACCAGTGTGACTTTGTTCAAGTCTGGGCCTCTCTGAGCCACAATTACAGTAAAAAGGAAGTGATCATACAGCTCCTACTTTATAGGAGTGTTGAATGGATTAAGTGATATTTGACATATAAAAAGCAGACTACTTAACAGTTACAGCTCAGTGAATGGCCACTATCCAATAGCTACAGAAATTTGTATCCTTCTTTGCTTAGTTTCCAATTAAATACCTCCTTTCCTTGTTGAAGGAAAAAACCCATAATCGCCTAACGAAAGACATTGACGTAACATTTCAGGGTTGTGGATTTCAGACTCACATGAGATACTTGACTCCATTAGGGACACTGTCATCTAGGAAGACCGACTGAATAAGTTTCTGGTAAGTGTTGCTCAAAACCCTTCTGGTCCGTGATTCCAGTTTTTCATCTAGAATTAACAGAGAGATGTCACCTGTAGGTACCTGGTAGGGATAAAGTACTAGATCTCCAAAGGAGGTGTCTGCTGAACATTGCAGAGAAGGAAATGAAAAGCCGATTAAACGAGATGGCAAGCTATCTCACACTAGCTAGAGATGGTGGCTCACAGGAGAGAGCGATCATTGGTTCTGAAAATCTCCAAAGAGCCAGGCTGCTCTGAAACTCTGGTAACAGAAGTTATGATATGCTTTGCCATGGGCTTCAGCCCCTTCTAGATTCTTCCTGCCTGTGGTCATAAAAAGAAAAAAATGCAGCCAGGCGAGGTGGCTCATGCCTGTAATCCCAGCACTTTGGGAAGCCGAGGTGCGCAGATCACGAGGAGATTGAGACCATCTTAGCCAACATGGTGAAACCCCGTCTCTCTACTAAAAATACAAAAATTGGCTGGGCATGGTGGCATGGAGTCGCAGCTACTCAGGAGGCTGAGGCAGGAGAATCACTTGAACCGGGGAAGCACAGGTTGCAGTGAGCTGAGATAGCACCACCGCACTCCAGCCTGGCGACCGAGTGAGACTCCATCTCAAAAAAAAAAAGAAGTCCAAGGATAGACACCATGTTGACACCCACCGAAGCACCAACCTAATCATTTGTTCCAATCAGGAAGAAGTTATTTTGATAGCAACTCTCCTGCCCAGAGATGCGTGGAGATAAATTGTCTCATCGCGTGCCGCTGCAGACGCACTGAGCCCTCTCTTTCCGGAACAGGTTCATTTGAAGATGTTTCATCCAGCTTCACAATTTAACCTCCTCTTCCTTTGAGCATTTTAACATACTTGGAACAGAACAGAACCATGTTAAAACAACAGTTTCAGGGCACTCACATTCCTTAAGGGAGCTCTGCTCCACGGAGGGAAACGCTCGGAACCGCTGGTCTCGATCTGATTTCCTTCTTTTTCTCATTGGTTCTTCATAGAAATCATCTTCAACTAGAGATAAACAGAGGTTATATAAGATTGTAGGTGTTGGGGCATGGTATTCTTGCCTCACCTCTATCAGCACACAAATGCAAAGAGTCTAACAGACTGGCTGGGTGCAGTGGCTCATGCCTGTAATCAGAAGCATGAGGGATTACATGCCTGGGAGGCCAAGGTGGGAGGATTGCTTGAGGTCAGGAGTTCAAGACATGCCTGGGCAACACAGCAAGATCTTTTTGTCTCAAAAAAAGTTTTTTGTTTTTTGTTTTGGTAGTGATAGGGGTCTTACTGTGTTGCCAAGCAGGCTGGAGTGCTGTGGCATGATCACGATTCACTGTAGCCTCAACCTCCCAGGCTCAGGTGATACTCCCACCTCAGCCTCCAAAGTAGCTGAGACTACAGGCACACACCATCACACCTGGCAAATTTTTGTAAAGACAGTGCTTCACCATGTTGCCCAGGCTGGTCTCATACTTACAAAAAAAAAAAAATTTATATATATATAATATAAATTTTTTTTTTTTTTTTTAAAGACAGAGTTTCACTCTTGTTACCCAGGCTGAAGTGCAATGGTGCAATCTCGGCTCACCGCAACCTCCGCCTCCTGGGTTCAGGCAATTCTCCTGCCTCGGCCTCCTGAGTAGCTGGGACTACAGGCACGCGCCACCATGCCCAGCTAATTTTTTGTATTTTTAGTAGAGACGGGGTTTCACCATGTTGACCAGGATGGTCTCGATCTCTTGACCTCATGATCCACCCGCCTTGGCGGGATCCCAAAGTGCGGGGATTACAGGCGTGAGCCAACGAAAAAAATTTTTTTTAATTAGCCAGGTGTGGTGGTGCGCACCTGCAGTCCTAGCTACTCAGGAGGCTGAGGCGGGAGGGTCGCTTGAGCCCAGGAGTTACAGGATGCATGCAGTGGGCTGTGATTTTGCCACTGCACTCCAACCTGGGTGACAGCAAGACCCTGTCTCAAAAAAAAAACAAAAAACAAAACAAAACAAAAAAACAGCAACGACAAAAAAGAGGAACTGCTTCTGGCTCTGTCAGCCCATAAACTCATTTGGGAAAAAACACTGTTGGATCATTCTAGCTTGGTTTCTACTTCTCAGAGTCACAAGACTGTCTGCATTTAGTTACAAAATGTAGAGTTCAATCTATCTCCCCAGATAAAAAGTTTCTATTTGCTACTCCTCAGAAGCCAAAGTGGCTGGATATTCTTTACCAAATGCCAAGTTTCAGGAAATCAACAGACTGTGTAGAGAGATCCTCAAGACAGGGTCAAGGGCGTAGTAAGCAAAGGCCTCTGGAAGGTCATTTCAGACTAGGAAAGAAATTGACCAGAAACAGAATGCACAGGAAAATAGGGGCCAAGTGACCAGGAAAAATCATTTCTTCCTTGAGCCTCAATTGCTTCATCTGTAAAATGAGAGAACTGACCGAAAAGTACACGTGCATTACAAGAGTTTGGATGGCTGCCATTCAGAAATCCTTCAAAATTCGGGGGAATTTTCTCCCTTCTTCACTTGAAGACATCAGCAGCTGCTTCCTTACATAAGCGAGAACAGAAATCATCTTCGAAACTCTGCTGAGATTCATTCACTTAAGTGGTTTCCCTGGTTATGAAGTGAAGGGCTGATTGGGTCCACCAGCCTAAGGAAGGGATGTAACCCAAATGCTGTGTTTTAGAGGGGTTTTAGAAAACACCCCTTGGGGCGGGCACGGTGGCTCACACCTTTAATTCCAGCAGTTTGGGAGTCTGAGGTGGGTGGATCACGAGGTCAGGAGTTTAAGACCAGCCTGGCCAACATGGTGAAACCCCATCTCTACTAAAATACAAAAATTAGCTGCCTGTAATCCCAGCTACTCGAGAAGCTGAGGAAGGAGAATTGCTCAAACCCGGAGGTAGAGGTTGCAGTGAGCCAAAATCGCACCACTGCACTCCAGCCTGGGCAATGGAGCGAGACTCCAACTCAAAAATTAAAAAAAGAAAGAAAAAAAGAAAACACCCCTTGGTTGTGTTTACCTGGCTAGAAAGGGGCAAGAGGTGGGTCTTTGGGGTGACGGTTGTTGAAACTGGTCCTAACTCAGTGCTCCTGAGGCTGGCCTGTGCCTTACAAAATGGCCATGAGGTGATCCGAAAGAGGTGATCCCCAAGAATCACAGGGACGCCATGAGGTTCCAAAATAGTGTGACATTCTGAGGTCATTCCCTGAAGAACCACAGAGAAGGAACGTCACACGCGCCCCAGGTTGGCAGCCCACACAGAAGGCCCAGTCTCTGCCTCGGAGCTGCAGACACAGATCTCCCAGACAGTCCAGGCAGCCTTCCCTCTCTGTTCAACCTTACATCTTCCAGCACAAATGGAAGCCCATGCACACCCCGAAGAATATTCTAGCATGAGCCATGCTAATTGCCAAGGCCTGAGTCTCTGCCACCTCATGCTCCACAGTCCTGCAGCAACTGAGAGTTGAGAGAGGTTACACTTCAACCGGCCCCTCTCTCTCAGACACTGTAACTGATGATTGAGCTCCAATTGAAGAAATCACCCTGGGTCAGTTTGAGGACTGCCTTAGAATTAAATACCAAGTAGGTGCTGGCTCGACAGCTGGAGCTGGAGAGGAAGAGGCAGAGAACGAAGAGCCTGCTGGTCAGGACCCGAGGCCAGCTACCACCTGAAGAACACTTTCATCCGTGCTCCAAAAAGCCTCTCAGAACTCTGGGATGTGTCCATGGCCTGTCCGTGGAAAGGGTGTCAGGGACGTAGACTTTGTCACTCAGGAACTCTTTTGGGCAAACAGTGTTTGCCTAATGTGTTAGCCACGTGTATAAAACCAGGGCTAAGTCCACACATCCAGGGCCCTTACTTCAACCTTGTAAGGACTGACAACGAATCTGATAAGAGACTGGAAGCTTATTTCTCAACTAAAGCAAAGGCTAGGAAGTCCAACACAGATGGGTTGAAAACCTTTTCTTCAATTTCTAAAACGCAAAACTCTCCAGAAAGGAAAAAGTGTTCCATCTTGATTTATGCCATGTAAGCATAGTACTTATATTACATTGTAACCAAAATAAACCAGCATGAACTTGGATCGCAGATCTTATTATCCCTGTTTATTGCTCAAGCACCTCCTTGCCCTTTCCAGAATTCTCCACCGAATTGTCCTAGGAACCAGGCTCTCTGGGTGGATGACGGCAGTCCCCTAGCACACTGCTGCTGTTCCTTCTTGCCACCACAAGGTGTCACTTTTGAAAACTGATCCCCCAACAGCCTGAGCTGAGATGCAGTGTCATTGGTGACTTCTTTTTTTTTTTTTTTTTTTTTTTGAGTCGGGGTCTCCACTGTCGCCCAGGCTGGAGTGTAGCGGCAGGGGCAGGGTCACGGCTCACTGCAGCCTCAACTGGCTCAAGCAATCCTCTGACGTCAGCTCCCAAGTAGCTGGGACTACAGGCACTCACCACCACACCTGGCTCTTTGTTTTTTTTAGAGATGGAGTCTTGCTGTGTTGTCCAGGCGTGTCTTGAACTCCTGGGCTCAAGCGATCCTCCTGCCTTGGCTTCCCAAAATGCTGAGATTACAGGCAATGATTCAGACCATTGCCAGAGGCTGCCAGAAACCTTTCAAGCAAAACAAACCCATTCCTCAGGGTTAAGTTTAACTGAGGGGATCCTGAAGTGGCAGTTCTTCCCAGATGCCTGCTCAGGCTTGCTTCAGATGTTAGCCTCACCCCGCAACCGAGAAACACTGGTTCACGTTGCCCCTAAGGGAATCTAGCCCCTCGGAGTGAGGAAAAGTATCTTCTTCAGTCCTCAAAACACAAAGGATGTGATGCACCGCTGTTTTCTGCACCTGGGGGTTACATCCCTGTCACTGCCTATTGGGAAGCTCCTTCATTGGCTCCCGGGGCCCTGTACCAGCCTTCTGAGGGAGGGAAGCCACCCACACTGGCTCCAGTGAGATTCACCCTTCCAGGAGCCGCTCCGGGGTACCTACACCTCTCCTAAGGAAAGCCACCTAACATCATTCCAGGGGGCTTGTAAGAGAGGCTAGCTTCAGAGAGTCCAAGATGACTTTCTGGAACACTAGTATTATTATTTTTGAGATGGAGTCTCGCTCTGTGGTCCAGGCTGGAGTGCAGTGGTGCAATCTCAGCTCACTGCAACTTCTGCCTCCCGGGTTCAAGCGATTCTCCTGCCTCAACCTCCTGAGTAGTCAGGACTACAGGTGTGCATCACCACACCCTGCTCATTTTTGTATTTTTGGTGGAAATGAGGTTTCACTGTGTTGGTCAGGCTGGTCACAAACTCCTGACCTCAGGTGATCCACCAGCCTCAGCCTCCCAAATTGCTGGGATTACACATGAGCCACTGTGCCCAGCCTGGAACATCATTTATTTTTTTAAGGAAGAAAGTCACATTTATTTAACCGCTGGCGAAACAGTTGAGCTCATTGTCAATAGGCTATTTCAGTTACTGTTGAAATAACTGGTCCTCATTCACTACTTAAACTATGGCAACAGTTAAATATAGTCCCAACCCATTTGCCATTTATCCTGTAACAGTAATCAGTTCCTATGTTCCTCCATCAGGAGATGCTGCAGAGATGTTACCTGGATGTGGTTCCTGGCCGAAAACATCCTTCGTTTCTGCCATGCCTTGTTATGTGAACACTTTCTCTTCTCTCCTTAGGAGAACCAGCCTGCATAGACAAAGTACAAAGACAGGTAGGACAGGCAGGAATTTGAAAGTACAGAAGGTAAAACCTAAGGATGTGTAAATCTGCCTGTGCAGTGTTTCTGCCCATTCCAACTTATCTCTGAATCTCTCACAACACCTAATACACCGCTTAATGGAAATATGACAAAGATCAGTGTTTGAACACTGGTTTCCAGTAATGCTTGTATCTATAAGAGTCTAGGCCAGGCACGGTGGCTCACGCCTGTCATCCTAGCACTTTGGGAGGCCAAGGTGGTAGGATCACTTGAGGTCAGGAGTTTAAGAC